GCATACCTGACCACCATGACACAGATGAACATGGTATACAGATGGTGCTCAACAGAGGCAGAGTTGGTTAAATCTGCCGTCCCTGCAGAGCCACTTCCTCCAAAGACAGGGCTGCCTCCCCTCCCCCCCATCCCAGACTGGAAAGGGGTGCTTACTAAGTGCTCTCTGGTCACTTGAACGAAGCAGGTTGGGGGGACCCTGCCAGGAGGGGAGGGGGCAGGCCTTGTCACTGTGCATCAGACCAAGGGGGGGATAAAGAGTAGACATGGAGCACCTGCTATATGCCGGGCTTGGGGACAGCAGGGCTGGTGTCCTCACCCCTGCAGAGTATGGGATTTGCTGTCTGCGGCCACGTGGGACAAAGGGTACCCCCGCGGTGGCCCCAGCTCTGGGAAGCCCTGGGGGCCCCCACCCGCCCAGCCTGCGGGAGCATCCGTTGCTCCTTCCCCCGAACCTTGCCAGAGCTGGAAGAACGTTGCTTCTTGCGACAGCGGCTCGCAGGCTGTTGGAGCTGGAGCATCCTTGGGGAGGCGGGAAGTGGAACAGGGGTCATGGGGGTGGGGGCTGGGCCCTGGGGACCCCAGCTCCATTGTTCCACTGAGTTCTTCTGCTGCTCCAGGCAGGAGCGCCCTAGCCTGCAGGCCTGGGCTGGAATCCAGGACCACTGGCTGGCCGTACTGGGGTGGGAAGGGGGTTCAGCAGCGCTCAGGGAGTTGGGGACTGGGGGCTGCTTCCCAGAATTTCTGGCCCCACTGAGAGTGAGCTCTGCCTGAGCTACAGCCAGAGAGGCTGGAGGGCCCGGCCCTGATCAGGAGGGGCTGCAGACCCCACCCTACTGTGAACCATGGGGCCTGGGGCCAGCCCCAGATCTCCTGGGGGTCACTGGATGGGAACTCATTGGGGAGGCCCTCGCTCTGCCTCGTCTCAGATGGGGGCCCAGCAGCCTTGCCGCCCCTGTGGAATGTCAGGACCTTGCACGGTGCCCTGGGTAAACTGAGGCACATGGGGGGCCCCAGCCAAGGACTTTTGGGCCTAGGGTGCCAGCTTTAGTAAACACACAGGACACCTAGTTCTACATGAATGTCAGGCGAACAGGGACTAACTACAGACAAGTGTGTTCTGTGCAATATTTGGGAGCTAATTATACTAAAAACAATGTTTATCTGACCCTCCCATTTACTTGTGCAGCCCTCGCTGAGACCCCGCTCGGCCCCTCGCGTACCCCTCAGACGCCCCTTGCGCACCTCCTCTCACCCTCCTCTTCCCGTCACTCACCTCCCAGGGTGGGGGAGAGGAAGTGGGGACACCTGGCCTCACTATGGGGCCCCTGTAACGGCCTCCAGGAGTGGGGCTATAAGAGGGACGGGTGGGAACGGGGGGGGGCAGACACGCCAGAGCCCCGGCCCCGCCATGACCCTAAGCCACAGCTCCTCCAGCCCTACCCTTGTCCCCCTGCTGCTGGCCGCGCTGCTGGGTGGTGAGTGGGGCCATGGGTCTATCTGTCTTTCCCTCCCCGCCTGCCCAGACCCTCGGGGCCCCTCGCCCTTGTTGGGAGGTAGCAGCTGGATGAGGGGGCCCATCTGCAGAGGAGGACGCCGGCTCTGAGTGCTGAGGCCGCCCAGGGAGCCCGGAGTTGGGCTGAACCAGAGGCCACACCCTGGGGACTCCGAAGCCGTCGGGTCTCAGTCCAGCTGTGCCGGGTCGAGGTGCAGGTGGTGGCAGGTCCCCTCTGCCCTCTGGGCCTCAGTTCCCTCATCGGGGCCACAGGCCCATGAGGAGCCCCCACCCTGCTGTCCCGTCGGGAGGACACCTGCCCCACAGGGCCCCTCCACGGTCCTCACCGCTCCACTCCCTCCCGGTGTCCTCAGGCCCAGCCCTGGCCTCGGAGATTGTGGGGGGCCGCGCGGCCCGGCCCCACGCATGGCCCTTCATGGTGTCCCTACAGCGGCGTGGAGGCCACTTCTGTGGGGCTACCCTCATCGCCCCCAACTTCGTCATGTCGGCTGCCCACTGTGTGGACGGTCTGTGAGTACCCCCGTCCTGCCTTCCCTCCTCGGAGCCCCGTTCCCGCATCTATGTGTGGGGAGAGAGGGAGACCGGGAGCCTGCGGTCCCCCCAGGGGTCTGCCCCGAGCCTGCCCCGCACCCCATGAGCGCCCCTTCCCCGCCCCCGGGCTCAGATGGCCCACCACCGGGGCCGCCTCCAGTCACCTCCTGTCTCTCCTTGCTTGAGGAACTTCCGGTCGGTGGTGGTGGTGCTGGGGGCACATGACCTGGGGCAGCGAGAGCCCACGACGCAATCGTTTGCCATCCGGCGGGTCTTTGAAAGCGGCTTCGACCCGCAGAGGCTGCTGAACGACATCGTGATCCTCCAGGTGGGAAGCCAGGGAGGGTGGGGAGGGGATGCCCAGGGCAGGACTCCTGGGGAGGGGGCTGGAGACTGCGGGACGTGATTGGGGCCCCGGCTCTAAGTGGGTACATCACCCCGTTGTGCCTCATTCCCCACCTCTGTAACAGGATGAAACAAATCCCACCCGGCAGGGCTGTTGAGAAATTAAATGAGATCATAGGGGAAGCTCTGAGCCATTGCCGATCAACAAACTTAATTTATGTGACCTAGCACAGGGACAGCTCCTGTCTTTGTGAAACAGGGCAAAACTCCCCACATTCAGCTGGCAGGAGATTTAAGGAGGAAACCCTCTCTTCCCCGGTGCTTGCAAGTTATGATTATTGTCTGAGAATGTTCTGGAATGCTGTGTTTTATTGAGTACCTACTGTTTACTGCATTCAAGACGTCCAGAGATGCTCTGAGCCACTGTGGTCGCTCCCACTGTAGAGATGGGGAAACTGAGGCCCGGGGAGGGGAGGGCCATGGCCCCCACCCCCTGGGACGCTCTGACGCGCCATCCGGCCCACTGCAGCTCAACGGGTCGGCCACCATCAACAGGAACGTGCAGTTGGCCAGGCTGCCTGCCCAGAATCAAGGCGTGGGCAGTGGGGTTCCGTGCCTGGCCATGGGCTGGGGCCAGCTGGGCATGGCCCGGCCACTGGCCAGGGTCCTGCAGGAGCTCAATGTGACCGTGGTGACCACACTCTGTCGCCGTACGAACGTGTGCACGCTGGTGCCTCGCCGGCAGGCTGGCATCTGCTTCGTGCGTACCGCCAGCCCCTCCCCCTGCGTCCCCACCCCGCTCCTGCCCCGGACACCCAGCCCCCCCAACACCCCCCACCCCTGTCCGTCTCTGTGGGAGGGCTCTGGCGGGGCTGGCCCGAGCCCCAGACGCCGGTCCTCAGCCCTGTCTGTCTCTGCAGGGGGACTCCGGCGGGCCCCTGGTTTGCAATGGGCTCGTCCAGGGCATCGACTCCTTCATCCGCGGGGGCTGCGGCTCTGGGCTCTACCCAGACGCCTTCGCTCCCGTCGCCCAGTTTGCAGACTGGATAAACTCCATCATCCGTCGCCGGGACGACCGGCCGCCGGTCCACCCACGGGACCCGGCCAGCAGGACCATCTAGAAGGGCTGCCCCAGGCCCGGCCCTGCCCGCACGGCCCCCTTCGCATCACACACAATAAAAACCCCCTCTGTTTTGTACGAACGTGTCCGGGTGTTGGTGGCTGTGCCGCTGGGTCTAGCTGGGTCTCTAGGATCTGGGAAATCTCGCAAGTGTGTTGTCACCAACTAGCGGCGAACTCAGGGCTTCAGGGTAGGAAGCCCCTTCCCCACCCTCACGGAAGGAGCCCAGTTGCCATTTCGGGTTCCCAGGCTCAGCCGGTGGAATTGGTGCTGCGGCGGTGACGGCGCCCAGCGGGAGCTCCCTGAGGGTCGCGGGGTGCAGGACCTGCCCGTGTTCACTCAGCGGGCCCTCTCTCTGGCCCTTGAAGCAGGTCCTACTCACACCCCATTTTACAGATGAGGGGCTAGGGGTCCAGACAGGAGCGAGGCCGCGCTGCCCAGGAGCCTAGGTTTGAGTCCCAGCCCTGTGACTTTGGGCAACTGGCTCTCTTTCCCTGAGGCTCAGTTTCCCTGTAGGAAGGAGGGAGGTAAGTGGTCCAGGCCCCAGACCGGCCTCAGCCCCACCCACCCCTCAGACCTCCACTCTTGCTGGGGGTCACCAACCTGGGCTCTCCTTCTTCCGGGCTTTGGTGCTCCCTCCGCCCGCCCAGGGCTGTTTCCCACAGCTCCCCTCACCACACCTCCTCCCCAGTCCTGTCCGCTACGGTGTCTGCCCTCCAATTTGCTCCTCCACCGGAACACTGGAGTATAGCCTAGTGGCCTGTCCATGCCAGCACAGCATCGGGGTGTCTATCCTCTACCTACCTACTTATTTAAGAGACCAAGCACAGGCAGGGGAGGGGGAGCAGCAGGCAGGGGGAGAAGCAGGGAGCCCGATGTGGGGCTGGATCCCTGGACCAACGCAGGGATCATGAGCTAAGCCAGAGACGGATGCTTAACCGACTGGACCACCCCGGGCCAGCTTCTGACGCCGCACCAGCGGTCTCTGCTCGCCAGCACAGCATCTGGGGGCATTCAAGGTTATTTATTGAACTGTCCTGTCTTGCTGAGTCATTCCCAAATTTTGTTGCAATTCGCAACTCTTACATAATCTGGACTCCATACCCTAACGGACTCTTGTTCAGAGTTTCTGATTTTAATAAGTAAACATGTTAGGAACTAACAAATCACACTGGTTGTATTTTTTTCAATTCTTCTGTGTATGAAACAGTCCACTGGGAAGAGGAAAGCAGCAGCCGTGTCCAGTGCAGTCCACCCCACCCTCGTGGTCCCAGCACTGGCCCCACCATAGGTTCACAAGATGTTGATCCATCATCCCCACCTTATAAAGGGCCACGTAACCCACCTTGTGCTCATCAGAGCCTGCCATGCCTTGCTCACAGTGATTGGTTTGGGAGGGGACACGCAATCAAAGCTCAGCGAACCAGACACAGACTTGAGAAGCTGGTTGGAATGAAAGGGAATTCTGGGAAAAGGCCCACTGAGCCACTGGGCTGAGTCTGGGGCTCCTGGGCCCACAACAGGAGAGCCTGGTGAGGAGAAAAGCCACCAAAGAGGTGAGAAGAAACCAGAAACATAGAAACCTGGTATTATTCAGGTACCTGGATCAAGCCACACCTGAAGGTAGACCCTGAAATTTCCATTTAAACTTCCTTGAAGACTCCACCGAGTTCAACTTGAGTATTCTATTTCTTTTTTAAAAATTTCTTTAAAAAATTTATTTGTCAGAAAGAGAGAATGTACAAGCTGGGGGAAGGGGTAGAGGGAGACGGAGAAGCAGGCTCCCTGCGTGGGGCTGGATCCCAGGACCCTGGGATCATGAGCTGAGCCGAAGGCAGACGCTTCACCGACTGAGTCACCCAGGCGCCCCATGTTCTTTTAGTTTTTCAAAAAGATTGTTGTTTATTTATTTAAAGAGAGAGAGAGAATGAGCAGGGAGAGGGGCAGAGGGAGAAGCAGACTCCCTGCTGAGAAAGAGCCCAATGTGGGGCTCGATACCAGGACCCCGGGGATCATGACCTGAGCCGAAGGCAGCCGCCTCATCTCCCCTTAACTTGTTTTTTCTGTCACTCGTATCCAGCAGGCTTCCCAGCTGCCCCTACGCGCCGCCTTTCTAATACTCGAGTTGTTGGGGTATCAGGCCCAGAACCACCAGGGACAAAGCCATCAGATGACCTCTCCGCCCCCACCCAACCTCCGCTCCCAGTTGGGGAGGAAGAGGAAGAAGGGAGGGGCAGAAGGAGGAAGTTGGTTGTTTGCAGCTGCGGCCTCCAGCTGCTGTTGGGTAACTTTGGGGCTGGGAGGGCGCCCTGGGGAGCCTGGGCTAGTGGGCGGGGGACTGGGGGCAGGAGAGGCTGGAGGGTGGGTCCATCCTGCTCTGCTCTCTGCCCGTCCAGAGGGTTTCCTGCCCGTCCAGAGGGTTTCCTGCCCATGCGAGGGCCAGCCCTGGCCCAGCCCTCCAGCAGCCTGTATATACTCTTGGGGTGGAGCACTGAGGGAGCTTAACCCCACTACTGGGCAGGCGGGAAGCAGGCCAGGCAGGTGCCCCTTTCCCCAACTGGACGGCTGCCCACCCAACAGATGGCTGGGCGGAAGCACCGCCCCCAGCCACGGCCCTACAAGTGCCCCCCTCACCAGGCTCCAGCCATACAGCAGCAGCATGGCAGGCCGCTGGATGCGCCTGGTGACTCTGGTCCTCCTGGAAGCCGCCGTCTGTGGTGAGTGGACCTGGACGAGGTGACAGCAGGAGCCGCCAGTCTAGAGGGCATTCAGGCAGCCAGCACCGCCCCCGCCCCACTGGCTCCACTAGGTGAACAGAAAGGGGGACAGAGTCCACGTGAATGGAAGGCTCTCGAGTCCAGGAACTTTCAGAACTTGGACTGTAAGGCCGGAGCTGCCCCCACAGAGAGGATGCGTGGCTTCACGGGGCTGCAGGGGACAGGACTGGGGGCCAGCAAAGCCGAGGCCGGCAGGACCGCAGCCCCCCTCAGCTCACATCTGCCTTGAGGCTGTTAGGCGCAGTGCGCAGGCCGGGAATTTGCCCCGGACCCCACCACTCCCTATCATTATGTCCGCTGGCTGTGCCCCTCGTCCCCAGCGCAGTTTGCAGCTTTGGTGGGCAGAATCCCAGGCGTGGGCTGCAGCGGGGCCGGGGTGGGGGCGTGCGGGGTTGGAGGGAGGTGTGCGGGCTCCGTGCGGGTCAGCCCTGAAGCGCTCAGGCCCACCTGCCCACCCCCAGCGGCGCAGCCTCGCGGGCGTATCCTGGGCGGCAGCGAGGCCGCGTCCCACGCGCGGCCCTACATGGCGTCGGTGCAGGTGAACGGCAGGCACTTATGCGGCGGCTTCCTGGTGTCTGAGCAGTGGGTCCTGAGCGCGGCACACTGCCTGGAGGAGGCGTGAGTGGCCCGAGGCGGAGCAAAGAGCGCGGGAGGGGGTTTGGGCGGGGTGGGGACGTGGGTCTGAGGTGGACCCCACTCCCAGGGCCGACGGGAAGGTGCAGGTGCTCCTGGGCGCGCACTCCCTGTCTCAGCCGGAGCCCTCCAAGCGCCGGTACGACGTGCTCCGCGCAGTGCCCCACCCAGGCAGCCGGCCCGACACAATCGACCACGACCTCCTGCTGCTGAAGGTCAGCCGAGTCCAGCCGCACCCCCTCCTGCCGCACGCATCCCGCCCGCCTCCCCTGACCCCCGTCCCCCGTCCCACCAGGCCAGCCGCACCCCCTCCTGCGGGACGGCCCCGCCCGCGCGCCCGCGCCCGCCCCGACGCTCGCTTCCGCCCCGTCCCGTAGCTGTCAGAGAAGGCCCAGCTGGGCCCCGCCGTGCAGCCCCTGCCTTGGCAGCGCAAGGACCGCGACGTGGAGGCCGGCACGCTTTGCGACGTGGCCGGCTGGGGTGTGGTCACCCACGCGGGCCGCCGGCCGGACCGCCTGCAGTACCTGCCTCTGCGGGTGATGGCCCGCGCCACCTGCAACCTGCGCCCGTACCACGACGGCGCCATCACCGAGCGCATGATGTGCGCAGAGAGCAACCGCCGGGACACCTGCGCGGTGCGCGGGGGGCGTGGCCACGAGGGAGTGGGGCGTGCGGCGAGGCGGGCCCACGGGCGGGGCTTGTGGGCGGGCGTGGCCCGAGGCCGGGACAGGTAGGGAGGAGAGAAAGGGGGGCGGGGGGGGTGCACGGACGCAGCGCTCACGGCCCGCTCCCACAGGGCGACTCCGGGGGCCCGCTGGTGTGCGGCGGCGTGGCCGAAGCCGTGGTCACTTCGGGCTCGCGAGTGTGCGGCAACCGCAAGAAGCCCGGCATCTACACGCGCTTGGCAAGCTACGCCGACTGGATCGACAGCGTGCTGGCCGAGGGTGCGGCCGCCTGAGGGGTCCCGGGGGGCGGCGGTCACGGGGACCAGCAATAAAGTCCTGTCCTGCAAGCGCCCGCCTGCCCTGAGCGCGCGCCGCCGGCTGCGGGGGGAGGGGACCCGGGACCCGAGGGCGGCAAGGGCCCACCTGGCGGAAGGCACCGCTCCACACTTCGACCGCAGCCGGACGCGCCGACTCTTCCACGCGCGATCGGGGAGGGGCTCACGTCCCAGATGCCCCTTCCCCTCCCGCGGAAGTCGCGCCTTCCCAAGCGGGCGGGAGGGCCCACTGTGCGCGACGCCCTGCTCTGGGCTGAGCCTTAGGCTTGCAGACCCTCTGAAGTCAGTCGTGTTCTTACGACCCATGTCCCACATGGAGACACTGAGGCTCGAAGGCTTCGCGACTCTCCTGGGGTCCCGGGAAGTTTCCAGGCAAAGGCCGGATTAGGCCGAACCCCTGCACAGGCGTTCAGGGTCATCTCCAGCGGCTCCCAGGGTCACAGGATGAATTAGGTTGACGGGTGTCCTAGAGCAGCCACTGACTGGCACCCTGGGCCTCAGTTTACCCTTCTGGGCAACAACAGGGAGGTCAGAGGGCAGAACCCAGGCCCTGAGGCCCTTTACTTTCTCCCACCTGGATGAGGAGCCATGGAGACCCAGCACCTGCTGGCCCCAGGTGTCAAGCTTGGTCCACCAAAGGGGTTCACGACTTTCCTTTTGTTGAAAAGGAGACTGAGGGTCTGAGAGGTGAAGTCATGGGCCCCACTGGGGGTTGGAACCTGTGGCCAAGTTTCACTTTCCTGCCATAGAGTGTTCACCTTGGGAGTCATACGCTCTGTATGAAATACGCACTTAGTGAGCACCTATTGAGTACTCAGCCCTGGGCTGGGCACTGGAGACAGACACCTGCTAACAGAAATTTAGTCCCATAGCCCTTCTGAGAGTCGATGGGAGGCTCACGGCTTCCTGCCAAATTTGACAAACTGTACGGAAACCCAAGGGAAAGGGAACAAAGGTGCAGGTCACTCGAACACAGGAGACTCATCCATTCAGGAGGTACTTCCTGAATGAGACAGTCCAGGTTGGGGATGGGGTGGGGCTACCAGACTTGGCAAAGAGAAATACAGTATGTCCAGGTGAATGGCGTTTCAGAAAAACGTGTATCATGAGTAATCACACAGTATCTGGGACGAGCTTGTACTAAAACACTTGTTCGTCTGAAATTCAAATCTAGCCAGCACAGTGGCCGGGGGCAGGTGGCAGAGGGCAGGCTGACAACCCGACACTGGGGGCCCAGACCCTGGCACCTGCAGGTCAGGAAGGGGACGGACACTGGGGAGGCCTGCCCTGCCCCGCCCTGTCTGGGGAGCCCGCAGGCGTCCTCAGTGGCCTCCCCTAGCGCTGGGGCTTCCTCACAGCGGCTCGGGCTCCAGGGAGAGGGGCCGCGAGCAAGGCCATGTCCACCCACGCGGAGACCAAGGGCATCACTTCTGCACAGACTCGGACGCAGGCGTGGGTGAGCCCTGCCAGACCCGAGAGGAGGGGACCCAGACCCACCTCTTGATGGGAGTCGTGTTCATGTCGTAAAACCACAACTTAACCTTAAACCTGTGAGATGTGAGTGCGAAACGGGCCCGCTGTCCTAAAGCAAGTAACCAGCTTAAAAAACAGGACTTAAGAAGGACACATGGCAAAGAACAGGGCCCAGTGGGAGGTGCGGGGCAGAAGCACGCAGGGGCCCCGAACCTGAGCACAGCAGAGGGGGCTGGGCACCATCTGGGAGGGGGCCCCATGGAGCCCTTCTCCGGGGAGGAGAGGCCACTTCCCCGCTCCCCAAAACCGTCCCCGCCTCTGCCCTCCGTCTGAGGCATACCAATGATTGGCACACTGCCCACCCCGGGCTCACGGATGGCTCTGTGCGTTCCCAGGGACCACACATCCAGGCACGCCTTAACCAGCGGAGGACGCCCTCGGGGTCCCCGTGTCACTAAAGGGGGACCGCAGTGGTGATGAGCAGAGCGGGCGGTGAGGCAGGCAGCAGGAGCCCACCAACTCCGTCATGGGCCAGCTCCCCACCTTCACGCCTGCCCCCAGCATGGGCCCACGAGTGCCAAATCCCCACAGAAAGCATCAGCTCCGACAGCCGGCCCTTGTGGGCGACAGGGCCCAGCCAGGTAACAGGCCTCACGGAGCCCTGAGCACAGGATACACGCATGTACCTCCCGGGGCCTCCACCTGGCCTGCACCCCCGGAGCCCTCATGCAGGACAACAAGAGAACAAACTAGCGCTCCACAGGCAGGGCACTGTCTGGGGGCTGTGGGGCAGGACATAATTGGGGGAAGTGCTTGTCGACAGAAGGCAGAACCCCAGGGGAACCAGGCCCGAGCTTCCAGAAACCCGGAGGCCTCGGTGTGCGGTGGGGGTTCGGGAGGATCAAGGGGGGATGCGGAGGACCAGCAGAGGTAGACACGGGCATCAGCAGAAGCTCCCCCCCCCACCGCGCCCGGCCCGGGACTCCCCGCAGGGACCTCGTGATTGGCACTAGGTGCTTGAGGAACGCTGACAGCGAGACAGTGAGACCCGAGGGCACAAGAGCCCAGAATGGGGACGGGGACAGGGAGGCACAGCAGCTCCGCACGGATGGGACACCTGTGAGCCGGCGGGACGTTTATTGGGCCTGCTGAGGTCAGAACCACTGGGGCGCGGCTGGAAGCAAGTGCCCCTGCTGGTGTGGCCCGCAGCACGCACGCAAACGCCCAACAGCCCGCAGGCTCGCACGGCACATTCTAGACAGAGGCCCAGGCCGCCCTGGACCCTCAGAGCCAGGACTTGGGGCTTCCTCAGGAGCCCCTGGAGGTCTGGGCACTCAGGAAGGGCACTGCGTGTGCTGTGGTCCTCCCCGTGGCCATGGGATCCACAGGACCATCTCCATCCCCACCTGGCACCGGCGGATGGATGCCGGGGTCCCTCCGCCTGGGAGCCACCGTTAGGCTTCGAGGAAGAGAAAAAAGCAGCACCCACCGGGCAGTGGGTGACACGTATGCCCCCAGGCCACGTCCTCCCCTGCAGGTCCGCTGACGGGGCACAGACCTCGCTGGACTGGGCGGAGAACCACACTCCCAGGACAGCTGTTTCTCGGTGCGCCTGACAAAGGTCCGGAGAGCATGGAACGTTGTGTCCCCGGCGAGGGCCCGTCAGGGGCAGCTGAGGGGCACCCGCCGCCACAGCCCCCCGCACAGACAGTTCTTGATCCAACGCTGCTCCCACTGCTTGACAGCTGTCGTCTTATTGGGTGACCTGAGCATGGTGACGCAGCCACACCTGGGGGCAGAGCCAGGAGGCTGAGGCCCTGGATGGGGCTGTCCTCCCACCTGCCGGGGGCCCTGGCACATGCAGCTCCCCCCAGCGCTGAGCTGCCTCCCGCACACCCTTACAGCCCAGCTCAGGCACTGCCCCCTCCCCTCTGGGGACGAGCGAGGGTCGTGGGGCTTCTGAGTCCCGGCTTGGCAGCTCCCTAGCAGGGGACCCTGGGAGCCGTAGCCTGTCCAGGGTTGTGAGCCAACAACTGGGGTTGTATCTGTCCAGGGCCCATGCTTCCTTCTGTGCTCTCGGACCTGTAGAGCTCCTGGGGGGCAGGCACAGGCTGCGTGCGCTCACCAGGACACAGACACCTGCTCGCCCCCGGGGCCGAGACCGTGCACCCAGCGGTCCCAGCAGCCGGCAGGCAGCGCTCACCTGGTGCACGTCTTGCACTCCTCCGTGGGGAAGGCTCCCAGGTGCAGCCTGCGCAGGTGGTCGACCTTGGGCTGGCCCGGAGCCCTGGCGGACGAGGGAGCACGTGAGCAGCTTGGGGCAGACCCCCGCTGACATGTGTGTGGGCACAGACCCCAGCTGACACACGCGCCCTCCGTTGCAGACACGGGGGTGATGGAAGGTACGGGACTGCCCATGGGAGGGGTCCTGGGGGCTGGGTGGGGCTACCCGGGTATTAAGTCCGTCTGAATGTTTCCAGAACGCTGAACTTAAAACCTCTTTGTGATCGATCCCCTCTTTTCTCAAAGTTTATCTTGAAACCCAAACACAAAGGGGGCCTGGACTCACAGGGCAGTCCCTCCCTGCGAGACAAGAAGGAACACGCCGGAGCTCACAGAGCACGTCACCCGGACGGGCCGCACAGGGCTGTCTTCCTTTGGCTTATCTGTTTTCGGACATTTCCACCCAAGGTAACAGACGGCGTGGGGAATTCATGCGAGTCTCTCGGTCACCCGAGTGTCTAAACGGGGAAGCCCTTGCCCGACCCTGGGTCGACGCATCTTTCCTGCCTCAAGAGCGGGGACAGAGGCAGCCCGGCAGTACTGCTAGGCCCTGAAGGCCAACCCCGCGCGTTCCAACGGCAGTGGCGTGTGGCGGGCTTCTGGAAGGGGCCCCTTGGCCCTGAGGACACCCTGCCAGAGGCCGTGGTTTGTCCCCCCGGCTGCGCCGCAGAGCCCGCACTGGGCTCATCCACAGCGGGCCGCAAGCCACGGGGCCACGCAGCACACGGTCCAGCTGCAGACACGGGGGTCTGGAGGGCCTGGAGCCCGAGTCAAAGGGCAGCGATGGGACGCTCCTCGCGGGGGTAGCAGAGCCCTAGCACGGCGGTGTCCCCAGATGACGGAGCGCAGGGGTGGAGAAGAGGCAGGGGTGTGCCTGAGGCCACGGGGCAGGGCGGGTGCTCACCGGACCAGGCCGTCCAGCGGCAGGGCGCCGGCGCCGGCAGGCAGCGGGGGGGCCTTGCCGAAGTGCAGGCGCAGAGGCTGCTTGGGCTGCAGGCGGCTGACCAGGCCGTCGCTGACGGGCAGCCAGTCCAGGCTGGGGATGAGCAGCTGGCTGGGCAGCAGGCAACACTCGTCCACCAGCGCCTCGTCCGGCTCGCTCGTGGGGCCCTCGTCGCGGCCTGCGGGGAGGGGATGGGGACGTACTGCCCACCGGGACACCACCTGCAGACGTGCCGTCTGGCGCCCCGGGACAAGCACACGGCTGCCGCTCTGGGAGCACCCGTGCTGGGCACCGGGGCCCGAGCCGGTGTGAGCCGGGGGTGGGGGTGACCGGGCCCGGAACTGAGCCGTGGCGGGGTTGCGGAGAGCCGAGGGCCGGGGACTCACAGCAGATCCAGAGCTTGGTGAGCAGACGGAAGAGCAGGGACATGCTGTCCTGGGTGTCCGAGGTGGCCGTGTACACGGGCAGGCAGCCGGGCTTCAGCAGCCCCCAGATGCGGATGACCACCATGAGCTCGCGCAGCAGGCCCAGCGAGGGGCCATCCCGCAGGAAGCTGTGGCCGGGCCGCAGTGGGGAGCCCTGCAGGGAGAGGCCCTCGGCTGGACACCTTGGCGCGTGGGGAGACGGGCCAGGGCGGACCCGGGCCGGCGGGCCACTGGGCCACCGGCATCGGGAGCGCACACTCAAGCCACTGCACGGGGCCGGGAGGAGGCAGAGTGGTCAGCCCGGGCAGCCCATGTGGGGAAGGGGAAAAAGGGACTTCACGTGGCTCCCGGGGGGACGAAGGACTTAAACCTGGGCTGGGAGACGCACTTGGCCACCCTCGTGGCCTGAGGTCAGAGCGGGTGTGGCACAGACCCGTCTGCACAAGCCCCCAGGGAGAGTGGGTGCACACAGCTCAATGCCCATGAGGTCCCGTGCAGGGTGCCTGTGGGGGGTGGGGCGGGGAGAGGACGGGTCAGGGCACCGCTGCAGAGAGGGACGGTGGGGGCGCAAGGGGGCCGCTACAGAGGGTCAAAGTGGGTCAGGCGCCAGGGGGCAGGCGGCCGCTGAAGAGGGTGAAGGGGGGTGGGGCAGAGCGGAGGGGACGGGGCCGCCCGGGATGCCGCACCTGGTTGGGCAGGCTGGCCAGCAGGTAGAGCACGAAGTCCCCCACCCACTGCAGGAGCTGCTGCAGCGCCTGGAGTGTGTTCATGTCCAGGACGAACTCCTCTGTCTTGAGGTTGATCATGACCTTGTCAATGTCTGGGGCGGGGAGTCAGGCACACCCGGGCAGTCAGGCACGCCGTGGCCTCGCGGTGCTCGCAGCACACGCGCAGACATGCGCACACCTGGCTCTGCACCCTGCGGCACCCACGGAGAGCCGCGCCCCAGGCCTCGGACCTCAAAGAAGAGGACCCTGGGTCAGCGTGGCCGTGGGGAAGGCCTGGCTGAGGCTCCCCTGCGGCTAACATCGGTCCCCAGCTCTGCCACGAGCCCCGAGGGCTGGGCTGCATCCACGCCTTTGGGTGACCGCCCCCCCCCGCCCCTCAGGTGGGGCTTAGGACGACCCTGTGAAGGGGCTCTGGGGTGGGACCCACCGGCGTCGGTGATCTTGCTGCAGACCTCGGTCAGCCGGTCACCAGGACTCTTGTCGGGGGTGTTAAGGAAGTGCGGGCGCAGGAGGGACTTGAGCGTGGAGCTCACGGCCACCAGGAACAGCTTGGCATGGTAGTCACACACGCGGGCCACCGTGCAGGGGGACAGCTTGCACAGTGAGGCCTTCATGGCCAGGATCCGGGTGGATAGGACCTGGGTGGGGCGGGGGGAGGTGGGAGCAGCCGGCAGGCAGGGACACTCCCTCCCCTCCCCCCAGGGGCCCGGGAAGCAGCATCCGCCACAGCAGGGTCGAGCAGCAGCCGGGCGGGGCAGGCCCGCCACCTCCTGCCCCCAGCGCCGCCTTCGACTGCGGCCGCGCAGGGCCGGGGGGCGGGGCTTCCGGCTCGAGGGGCGGGGCCGCGCGCGGGCGCTACCTGCTGCAGGGCGGCGTTCTGGCGGGTGTACTCCTCGTGCAGCTTCTCCACCAGGCTCTGCACCATGGCGGGCTGCACGTGCAGCAGCGTGTCCCACCAGTCGTAGCCCGTCACCATGCAGTACTCCAGCAGGAACAGCAGGTGCCGCAGGGCCAGGCTCACGTCCAGGGTGTGGCCCATGGACGGCGAGATGCGCAGCATGCTCAGCTGGGGGGAGCCGCCGGTGAGGGCCGAGCCCCACGGCGCCCTCAGGCAGGGAGGGGAGCAATGGAGGGACCCGGGCCCCGCCCCACACCTAGTGACCCCAGGCCCCCCACGCCCCTCCGCAGGCCTCGCAAATCCACTCTCCGGCCGTGGGGGGGGTCTCCGGAAGCAGACCCCCTCCGGCGAGGAGAGGCCCACTGGTTGGCCTGCCGCACAGACAGGCCGAGGTCGGGGCCGCAGGGAAGTGGATTCAGGCAGGAGGCAGGAGGAAAAGCGGCTCTCCGAAGTGATCTGTCCGGGGTCTGCACGGCCTGGGGTGCAGGGCAAGCGTGCACAGCACGCCCATCGGCCAGGCCAAGGCCCCCAGGAGCAAGGATTAGGGAGCTCCTATGAGGCCCCAGAGCCACAGGTCGCTTACCTGTGTCCCGGCGGTGGAAAACCGCCGACCCCACGGCTCCTGCTGCCAGGGCACCTACTCTGCGCCCCAGACCACACTGCAGCTTTCTCTGAGACCTCTGGGGCCGGAGGAGCCCCACCCCACCAGCGAGGAACCTCCTGGCGCCCGAGCAGCAGGGACCGCAGTCCCGGGGGCCTGCCCCTCACACCCCTCCCCCCGCCAGGCGCAAGCTTCACAGCTCACCTTCCCATGGTTGTCGATGCCGACCAAGGCCAGCGACGTCCAGGAGAGTTGCATGGCCTTGAAGTGGACGGCGGGGCCGCTGGCCCGTGGACGCTTGATGGCCGGCTCATCTGCAGAGCGCGGGGCGGCCGAGCTGTAGAAGACGGCCATGCTCTGCAGCGACAGCCGGTGCACGATGTGGACGCTGCCGTCGTGAAAGGCCAGGGCCAGCCCTGTGTGAGGGAGCACGGGCGGCTGAGCCGGGCGGAGGGCCGGGGACATTCGACAGCAGTCGGGGCCGGCAGGGCCTGCCCGGGGGAAGGGGGGCGGTACCGAGGCCGGGGTAGAACTGGGTGTCGCTGGCCACCTTCAGGTCGGTGTTGGTGAGCGAGATGGGCAGCTTCGGCAGCGCCACGGCGGACACGCGGTCCAGGTCATTCGTGGCCGACAGGATCCGCCATTTCAGGATCATGGGCTGTTTGTCGCCGACTGCAAACGGGGGTGGGGGTGGGCAGGAAAGCAAAACAGGATGAGACATGCAGCAGGCCAGACCCTGGCAGGGGCCCCCCACCCCCAGCCCCGGCCCCGCACATGGGGTCCTGGCCGAGTGACCACTCAGAGCGCTCCACGGCCCAGCCAGCTGCACGGTTCACGACGGGCCGGGGACAGCAGCTGGACCAGCCCGCTCCTGCCCTGGACTCCACGGGACGGCGAGGACGGGGCTGATGGGAGTGAGGCTGCCGTGCCCCTGGCAGGAGCCAACGCACCGACAGACAGACCACACCCCAGAGCCCGCCACCACACAACCCCCTCAAGACCTGGCCAGCCCGTGTGGGGTTTTCTTGTGACGTTAAGGGTCCCAGGGGGACCCCAGCTCTACCCGCCTCACGAGGCTTGAGCCGGACGGTCAAGGTGCCACAGATCGGCGCCCCTCGCACCCACACCCTTGGTGATGAAAGCCCCGACGACGGGCAGAGTGGCTTCCGTGCATCTGGGCTGACTGCTGGGTATCGGGAAACGGGACGCAGGCAGAGACTCATGAGGTGCGCCTGCATTGGGACACGGCAGGGCAAGCCTGCAGGGACAGGCGTGCCACAGGGGGAGACTGGGGGCCCAGCCGACAGCAGCCCGAGCCATCTGGCGGGTGATAGCAGACATACCAATGGGGCAGAGCAGCAGAGGCGGCCCTCCCAGCAGAGCGCAGAGTGCGCTTTGAGCTACTGAGTTCAGGGCTGGTTTGTCACACGGTGACAGCTATCACACAGCTTCTTCCTGCCACCGCTCTGCCTTGAGAACTCTACTCTGAATGGTTTCTCACAATTTATAAACCTGCCATGGGCCCAGGGAGGGAGTCCTAGCAAGCACTGTCCCCCAGGGAAACTGAGGCCCAGGGAGCACTGAGACTGCCTAAGGCCACGGAGGGCAATCCAGCACCTAACAGGGACAGCAGAGGGGGAACAGCAACCTTAGCGGCGTCCAGGCAGCTTGCCGAGCCACCTGCACCCGATCGGGCACAAATGCTAGGTCATGGGGCGCCTGGGTGGCTCAGTTGGTTAAGCAGCTGCCTTCAGCTCGGGCCATGATCCCAGCGTCCTGGGATGGAGTCCCACATCGGGCTCCTTGCTCCGCAGGGAGCCTGCTTCTCCCTCTGCCTCTGCCTGCCATTCTGTCTGCCTGCGCTCGCTCTCTCTCTCTCTCTCTCTCTGACAAATAAATGAATAAAATCTAAAAAAACAAACAAACAAAAAAACAAATGCTAGGTCATGGCTATGGCCAGGCTGTCCCTGGGGCTGGTCACTGTCTGCACAGGGCAGGGGGCCACACACACCTGGGGCCCTGTCCACCACCGACAAGCTCCCCAAGTTCGCGGGGTCTGGCGACAGGGCAGCTGGGACAGTCTTCACGGTAATTGCTCTGCCCCATGGTGTGCGGCTTATGTAACCGCCCGGTGGGGGCAGGAGCCGTGGGGCCCCCGACACAGCTTCATCAGCGGTTCCTATGCAGTACCCCCCGCACAGCCAGCCACTCTGGGCTCCATTAGTGCTCATCAGCAGAGAGCCCAGCTCGCATCTACTAGAAATCATCTCTGTGTGTGGGCCCCGGGGTGGGGGGGACATCCAGGGGCTTTCCTGACTTCTCTGTGGCTTCAAGTGGGGCCAGCATGTCCCAGGGTCCACTGGTGGGGGGTGAAGGGGGAGCGCTGCCATCTGGAGCCACTGGAGTTCCATGTGGCTGCAGGGACAGGGGAGGGGGAGGGGAGCCAGTAGGTATGTTCCGAGTGTACTCGGTCACACCCTCTGGGCCCCAGTCTCCTCACCACAAACCAGACATTTTGGAGGAGTCTGTGGTTTTTAGGGTTAAGTGCCCTCTGTGGCCCAGGGGGCTGCAGGTACCCCCACTCCTGCTGCAGTGCCCATTTGTGCCCCCCCCCTTACTTAGCCACTCTAGCTCCTGGCCTCTACCCCAGGACCTTTGCACTGCTGTTCCCTCAAGCAGGTACTCGCTCGCTGCAGGAAGCATCAGACGCGAGGCAGTTGGGCCACCTGCCTGTGGGCTGACCGGCAGACCTCACGTCTGAGCCCCAGCACAGGAGGCTCTCCAGGACAGGAATGAAGCGGCCGCAGAGCAGGGTGGAAGAGGGCAGTGCGGGCCAACATTGTGCAGCCACTCAGAACAGCTCCCACGTGTTGTGCTGGGAGCCCAGTGCCCCTGGGAGTGGGAAGACTCACCCACAGGTGAGATCTGCTGGAAAACATTGTTCACCGGGAGCCCCTCCTTCCGCAGGGACCAGCACTCCACGATGCTGCTCGTCTGGCTGGACGCACACAGGAGCACCTGGGGACGGCAGCAGCCGGTCAAGAGGGTGCAGCTGGAATGGCAGACATGGCCCTGGTGGCAAGCAGGGGTGCAGCCACAGAAACTATCAGAGCTTCATGAAGTTGGGGGCCTTACTGACATGTGGTTACACTGGAGCCCTGGGTGACCACTGACCAACGGCCACAAAGATGTCCCCGAAGAGGACCCCATCCCGAGTTCCGGGACCTGTAGGCTTTGGGGCCCGGCGTCCTCACCAGGTCCTCATGAGAGGGAAGCAAAGGGCAGGTGGGGGTCCCAGAGACGGGCGGACCCCGTGCTACTGGCAGGGAGGATGAAGAGGGGGCCACGGGCCAGGGAAGGGCAGGAGCCGGGTCTTCCTGGGGCCCCAGGCGGACCAGCCCTACCCGCACCAGGGTTTCAGCCTTGTGAGGCCCACGTCGGACCCCGGACCCCAGTGCTTGAGACGAGAAGGGTGTGGAGCTCTGCTGCTACAGCCAGAGGGGGGCACCCCCCAGGCAGGGCCTCACCTGCTCCGACATGTCGCGGGCCAGGAACTTGAGGTGGGTGATGGCGGGGAACTTGTCCTTGCGGTTGAGGTCGGTGGTGCAGCGCATGAAGAGCGAGGGCAGGATCTCGGTGTCAATGCGGCACTTCTCGCTGACCACGCTCACGCACACCTTGTAGAACTGCACGGGGGAGGCGCTGCTGCCGTCCGCAGTGGCCACCACGATGTTGCCACCACCAGTGAAGGCGATGTCAGCCAGGGCCACACGGCCACGCAGCCGGCACAGACTCTCCGTGGATGTTAGCACCTGCCCGCTGGGCTTGAGCAGAGACACGGTGACCAGGCCACTGACTGTCACTGCGATCCAGCCCTCCATAGGTTTGCCGCCAAACAGCGTCAGTGACGGTGAGAATTTGACGCGGGAGAACTTCTCCCCGAAGCTGGAGGCACCTGACTATGGGGGGAGAAGGGAGCACGGGGTCTGTTTACTGCCAATCCCAACCCCAGCTAAGGGCCCTGACCAGCTTTTAGGGCTCTGCCCTCTGTGACCTGACAACCCTGCTCTGGGGGCCCAGAAAGAGGAATTCTAGGATATTGCTGAATTAAACAGTGCCAGGAGGTGGGGCGCATCTGGGTGGCTCAGTTGTTAAACACCTGCCTTCAGCTCGGGTCAGGATCCCAGGGTCCGCGGATCGAGCCCCACATCGGGCTCACCACTCAGCAGAGAGCCTGCTTCTCCCTCTCTCACTCCCCCTGCTTGTGTTCCCTCTCTCGTTTTGTCTCTATCAAATAAATAAATAAAACCATAAAAAAAAAAAAAACACCCAGTGGGTTGGATTTTGAGAACCAACCATCAATGATCGATGATTCCCTAAGCATACCAACCACGGGAGGTTCACTGAGAATAGCAGTCATCAGTTAAATGAGTGGTTTACTAAGGACAACAGCTTTCAGTTAAGTGAAAGGTTCACTGAGGACAGTGGCCATCAGTTAAATGGGTGGCTCACTTAAGACGCAGATGCTGACGGCTTGATTGCAAGCACGAGTTGGGCCCAGGACTAGAGAAACCAAAGGATGCTGGTGCTGGGAGAGGAGGAGCCACATCAAGAGGAGCAGGTAGACAAGCAGGGTGAATGATCTCACCTACTGCACCTACTTGCTCAGACAGGACACCCACCTTTTCCACGTGCAGGGCCAGCTTCACACCATTGTGCAGCCAGGACAGGGCCACAATGGGGTCTCCTTCCACCAGGCTGCCCACGTGGCTCTCCCAGCTGTTGGCCAGGTGGTCCGCCATGCTCCAGCACTTGATCTGCCCATCGGCATCGGCCGACAGGAGCCGGGAGCCTGTTGGGGGTCGGGGGAGCAAACCTGCGTTACCAACCTTCATGGTCACCAACCTTCGCGGTGGGCTGGGACAGCGGCCACTAGTGCACCAGGGTCTGGGAGGAGCAGGCCTGGCAGCAGTGGAGCAGGGGAGGGGCACAAGGTGTGCTCCTGACAAGGGTGCCCTTGGGGAATGTGAACAGCAGTGGCCACAAAGCCACAGGTTGAGGCTTCCAGTCCCTTGTGTGGACTCTGGGGACGTCACCAGGAAGACAGAGCACGATACTCTGAGATTCAGGATCAAGGGTGAGCACCACTGTCTCCCTCAGCCATTCAGGATCACCCACCCCTGGCCCATCCTCACCTGACTGGTCCCACTCAAGGCAGGTGATGGCCTCGCTGTGCTCCGAGCTGACGGAGTGCACGTCCCAGGGGTGCTCCGTATCCAGGATATGGATCACGCGGGTGAGGTCTGCAGGGGGCCGCGCACGCTCAGCACAGCAGCCCTAACACCCCGAAGCTTCTGATGACCCCAGGAGGCCTCAGGGAGGACACCAGCGAACATCCCACCCATGGGGACGACGGGGCTGCTCTGCTGCTGACCATGTAGACGGCCCCAGTGCTAGCGCAGAACAGGCTTTTGTGTTCCTGGGTTCCCTCTGGAGACCAAAGCAGGCTTGTGACCACAAGCGTGGTCATGTTTTTTCAAAGAGACACAGAAAACAGGACTGGAAGAAGATGACCTCCAAACCCTAACGGTGGGTATCTCTCCGTGACTTTCTTACCTTAAGCTAAATTTCTCTGCTTTTCTAATTTCCTCTAACAGGCACACAGTATTTAACAACAGACAGAAAACAAGTCCCAACAAAGTGACTTTGAGGCTTCCAAAAGCAAGATAATGACATGTAAGTTCTGGAAAACTGGGCATCAAGTCTCCAAGCCCTAGGGGACCACACACCCCTGCTCCGCTCCATCCCAAAGGGGTGATTCCAGGGTCTTTCCCCCACTCTGGCCCAGCACCAGATGCAGGAGCGCAGTGCATCTGTCCTGCGCACACCTGTGAGGCTACGGTCCTCACCAACACCGGTGACAGGGGAGAAAAGCCTGAGAGGGCCCCCATGGGGGAGGAGCAGCTCCCAGGCAGGCCTGGAGATCCAGAGGCCCCCCAGTAGGACACCGGGGATGGGGGTGCTGGGCTGGAGGGCAAGGAGACACACCTTGGTCATCATTTCGAAGGTCAGTGGTGAAGGCAATGAGGTTACGGCAGGACCAGGCACAGGCCAGGGGCACTGACGGGCAGTGGGTACTCTTGGGCCATCTCTCCCACTCGCAGACGTAAGCCAGATCCATCGTGCCTACAGGCCACAGGTCACACACCGAGGACGGTCAGCAGCTCCTGAGGGAGGCTGACACGGACACTCACTGAGTGCCCGCAGGACAGCAAGCTCCACGCTGCGTGCTGGCTTACCCCAGGTAATGAAAGGAACCCAACCCCTGCCCTAGGGTCTCGTGTGCCATGTAAGGGCAGCTGCATTTTAAACATGGAGGGACGGCACCTGCGGTCTCAGTCAGTTACACGTCTGCCTCCAGCTGGCATCCTATCTCAGGGTCCTGGGATGAGCCCCATGACGGGCTCCCTGCTCAGTGGGGAGCCTGCTTCTCCCTCACCCTCTGTCTCTGCCCCGACTCGTGATTTCTCTCTCGAATAAATAACATATTTGGAGTGCCTGTGTGGCTCAGTGGGTTGAGCCTCTGTGTTCAGCTCGGGTCCCGTCCCAGGGTCCTGGGAGGAACCCGGAGTCCGGCTCCCAGCTCAGCAGGAAGCCTGCTTCCCCCTCTTTCTCTGCCTGCCTCTGGGCCTACTTGTGATCTTGCCGTCAAATAAGTAAATAAATAAATCTTATTTAAAAAATAAAATCTTTTACTTTTTTATTTCTTTTTTCTTTAAAGATCTTATTGTTTGACAGAGAGACACACAGCGAGAGAGGGAACACATGCAGGGGGAGCGGGGGGAGGAGCAGGCTTCCCGCTGAGCCCCACGCAGGGCTCAGGCCCAGGACCTCGGGATCACCACCGGAGCAGGAGGCAGACAATGAACGACTGAGCCACCCAGGCGACCCCAATAAAATCTTTAAAAAAATAAAATAAACAAACATGGAGGAACAGGAAGGCCTAATCAAGAAAACAGCATCCCAGCGTAGCAGTGCGGGAGCCAGACTCGCACATGCCTGGGGGAAGGTCACGGCAGGCAGGCGGAGGGAACACCTGCGCCAAGACGCTGAGGGTGCGCGGCACCTCGGATGTGGGAGGAGTGGCCAAGAGGCCCCTCGCGCTGGAGCAGATGCGCGAAGGGATAAGGGGGCAAGGTGGGGGCAGGAGATGATGCGGCCAGTCCCAACGGGCCCTGGAGGCTCTCACCCCAGTGGGCGGGGGCCCCCAGAGGGCCGCGAGCTACCCACACTCGAACAGGACCTCTGTGGCGGTCTGGAGCGCACAGGCAGGGACGGGGTGGAGGCACGAAGAGGGCAGGGGCAAGTGCGCGTCGAGGCGGGCCGTGGGTCTGTCCCGCGAGAGCCGCGAGGACACCACCTCCAGGGGAAGCGGCGGCGGGACTTGGAAGGCGGACGACGGTCCCGGGGGTGAAGCCTCCCCACGGCCCTCCCCGCGCCAGCAGCGAGCACGGGCTCCTGTTCTTTCCCTCACGGCAGTCCGGGGAGGCCCCGAGGCCGACCCGCCCCGTTTTTCTCAGTCGCCACCCCCACGTCCTGACGGGGACACCCAGGCCCCGCCCACATGCCCCTGCGAGTCTTGAAGTCTCGCCCCCAAAGCCTCCATCCCCTACGATCTCCGCTTCCCAGGTTGTCCCTTGAGCCCCCGCCCGGCCTAAGCCCTCAGACCCCATCCCAGACCCCCAGCGCCCCGCGCGCCGCCGGACCCGGGCCCTCCCGGAGCCCCGCTCAACCCCCGGTTACCCTGGGGCCCCGTCCCCCCACGCCCGCCCCGGCTCTCCGTGCCCCACCCCAGTCCGCCCCAGGCTTCGCGCCAGTCTCTGCACCTACCCCAGACCCCGCCCGCGCCCCGGCCGCGTGCCCAGCGCCCTAGGCGCCCCCGGGGCCCGCCCTCTGCCGCCGCGGGCTCCGCCCCGGGCCCGCCGGGCCCGCCTTCTCCGGGCTGCGTTTCCCCCGGCCGCGGGCGCCGGCCGGAGGCGAGCCGACCTCTCCGGCCCCGCAGCCCCGCGCTCACCAGGCCGGCCCAGACTCCAAGCCGAGCGGGTAGCCGCTGCCCGCACTCGCCCTAGCTCCCCGGCTCCGGCGCCGCCATCTTCCCCGGGACCAGCGAGTTGCCCGCGCAGCGCGGCCGCTTCCCAGGGACTTCTGGGAAGGCGGTGACTCCGCCCCGCGTCCGGCACATTTGCATAGGCCTTTTGATCGCGTTCCAGCAGACAACAGAGCTGTATTTGATGAAAAATAAACGCTTTTTCAACTACAGTGAAGGCTCCCTTTCATTATTCTCTATGTTGTACAGATAAAGGAAAGAAAATAGGCGGCTGACCCTTTCCTTAGAAAATCCACCCTCTCTGTAAAGTCATTTATCCTCAGCACTCTAAATACCTGCCGGGCGGACCTTCTGACCGTGCTCGCTTCGGCAGCACATATACTAAAATTGGAACGATACAGAGAAGATTAGCATGGCCCCTGCGCAAGGATGACACGCAAATTCGTGAAGCGTTCCATATTTTGTTCCGTCCCGGGACGCGCACTTTCGGCGTCTACGTGGGATCTTCTGCAGCACGCGCAAGCCCAGCGGGCCGGCCCGCGGCGCCCCCTCCGGAAAGCCCCCGGCCGAGACCCCTCGGACTTCCCGGCGACGGGCCGCCTGGAGCGCCGGCCTTGGTGAACCCTGCGGGCCTCAGTAGTTGGGCGAGTGAGTCCCCGCGGAAAGTCCGCTCACCGACACAGACCTGCCCACCGCCCCGGACGGCGCGTGCTAGGAAAGAGCCTCCCGGGGCAGAAGCCCGCCGGCGCGCCCAGCAGGGGGACCGGGGCCGGCGTCCGCAGGCAGGAGCTGCCTCGCCGGCAAGGACCCCCGGATGGACGAACCCAGCCTGAGGACGTCCTGGGGGGCACCCGGCCAGTCCCAGACACACGCAGGGGGAAGCCGACGGGAAGGAACACGGGGAGGCCAGGAGAAGACAGAGGCCGGGGCTGCCAAGCGGCGGTCACAAGCCAAGGAAACCAGGGACCCCGAGGGGCAAAAGGACCCTCCCCGGGAGCTCCCGGCCCGGCCGCACGTGGAGTTTGGACTTCCGGCTTCCAGAGCGACAATAAATTCCTGCGGTTTTAAGCCACAGCTGGGGTACTTCGTTCTGGCCACCCCAGGAGGCTCCTCCGAGTGACTTTTGGACCCTCTTGGACCCTCGACGGCTGGCAAGTGGCAGAGCTGGGGTTTGAACCTGGGCACCTGGGAACGGGACAAGCCAGGGCAGCAGAACCAATGGACCCAGCGCTCCCAGGAGCATCTCCCCACACACCCGCCTCCCACGGGGGGTGGGGGGTGTCACTCCGTGTGAACCTTCATCCCCTGAGGTCTGCAGCCCTCCCTGACCAGGACCTAAGCACGTCCTGAGCACCTGTTGGAGGAAAGGAAAACCCACAGCTGGTGACCAGAGCACCAGAAATTTATTGAATTCTCCACTTTTCCCAAAGCACAACTAGCCACACACACGGGAGGGGTGTCCCCCAGCTCTGCTCCTGTGGGACATGCCGGGGTGACCAGTGTAAGGACACCCCAAGGCAACAGGCCAGAGACGGGTGGGGGAGGGAGCAAGGAGACACGGCAAGGAGAATGGGGCAGTCCGAGGGCAGAGGCTTCTGGCTGGAAGTCCCAATCCCCCAGTATGAAGGGAGGAGGTGTGTAGACCAGAGAGGGCCCCAAGAGCCACCAAAAGCCACCAGGGGAGAACACACATTCCAAACGGTGGTACGATCAGCCTCTAAGATGTAGCTTCTGTCCAGGGTTGCAGGGCACACGCACACACAGGCGCACACACGCACGCACGCACACACGACAGAACACTCCTGGAAAAAGGGGCAGGGCCCTAGGGACCACCCCCCACCAACCAAGCAAAAAACTGGGTGGGGGGTTAAAGCAGGGACTAGAACAAAGCCCCCCATTTATCAGTTGGGGCAAGTGTTTGGTTTTTCTTCCCAAAAGGGAAATTTAAAAATGTACAACAAATCATGCCAAATTCATTAAAAGTGATAAAAACCCAGCCTCTCACTCCCCGCTTAGGCTTCAAACGGGGCTGGAAAAGCAGAAGAAAGGAACACGGAGGTGACCAGGCCGGGTCTCCTGGCTGCAATACAGAGCCGGAGAGGCAAGGCCAGGCCAGTCCCGCGCGGCCCCAGCCCCCAGCGCTTAAGGGGACAGGTGGACAGGAAGGGGCCAGAGCGAGAGAGCCGCCAGAGGCAAGAGCGCGTCCGTAAGTACTCGGCTCGGGGAGGCGGGGAGGGGCGGGGCTGCCATCAGCTCCGCTGCTCCAGGTACGCGGACAGGAGCAGCCCCGGGGGCAGGAAGTCCAGGTGCCGATTGCTGACTTTCATCTGCCTCTTGCCTTCCAGGTCCGCACCTGTGAGGGGACAAGGACGGCAGCTGTGACCGGACTACGCAAGTCACGGGTCCCCAGGTCGCCATCTCCACCCCTCCAGTCTCCTCCGGCATCCAGCGCTGGGTGGCCCCGCGCCCACCAACCTCCCTCCCCTCTCCCTCACCTCCCTTCACTCCCACACCTGGACTGGCCCTGCGCCCCCCAAGCTCGGCCCTGCTTTCAGGTCTTTGCGGGGCGGGGGTGCTCCGGTGCGCCTCCTCCCCATCGGCTCAGGGCCCCTCCTCCTGTGTGTTCAGGCCCCGCTCAGCTCCCGCAGAGAAGCACCCGGGCCGCCCCTGGGTCCTGGCTCTTCCAGAACAAATTTCGGAGTCCACCAGAGGGAGCCAGTAGGAGGAAGCGGCCTAGAGTTGCCATGGAAACCATCTCCTCAGCAACTCGGGCAGGTCGCCAGGATGAGGAGCCCAGACCCCATGGGGCACCCAGACACGGCAAGGGCCTGTGAGGACCCTCCCTGGGGGACTGCGTCCCGAGGACACCCGCATTATAAAAGAGAGGACATGGGCCCCAGGAGGGGGCACTTGCCAATGTCACATCCATGTCACAGCGGAGGGACTAGAGCTAAACAGAGCTCTGCCTCTGTGTTAGGGGCCCCAGACGCCTGCACAGGCCCCAGGCTCCCAGGGAGCATCCGTGCCCCCGGCATCGCCCAGCACGGGGCCAGGCACACGGGGGGCCTCTGATGCCTGAACACGCTGTCCCACCGCCCACCCGTGGCTCATGGCGCCCTCCTCCCTGAGAAGCCTCCCCCTGAGGGACGAGCCCCTGCGTGACTCCGGCCTCGGTTTCCCTGGGCCTCACCAGCCCGATGGGGCCCTGCGGGCCAGCAGCACTTACTGGCTGAGATGAGGTCCATGTACTGGCAGACAGCGTGAAGCAGGAGCCTCTCGAAACTGGAGGGAAACAGACGGTAAGTGGCCGTGGGCCAGGGCCAGAACCCTGGCGGACCACACGGTGCTCACTCCCACCCAGTCACCTGCTGTCCAGCATGGCCGTGTACACGGCCTGGGGAGACACTGAGAAAAACCTCAGCAGCCGCTCCTCCCAGGTCTCCAGCGTTCCCTGCGGGAGAAAAGGGCCTGGGGTGAGGCCAACCGCGAGACTGTGGACAAGCTGTCCAGGCCCCATGCCCAGGGTAGCCTCTAGAGCCCAGAGGCCTCGGAACAGGCCTTTGACCTGTTCCAGGAGGCTACAGAACCCTTCCCAAAGATAGCAGGAGTGAGATATGGCCATACTCTTGGACTTCTGGGCCTTCTGCCTGGTGGACTCCTACGCATCTCACAGTACCCACTTTCACTGCCCCTGCCCCCCCCCACTCTTGGGGAAAACCCTTTCCCAGCCCTGGTTCCTGCGCGCTGATCACACTGGTCTGGTCTGTACCCTGCCTCGTCTCCACCACCACCACCTGCACTGGGTAGCAGATATCCCATCACACCACTGCCGATTAGGAAGGGGACGAAGAAAAGCTATCAAAAAAGACCAATTAGGTGGAGAAAGACGCAGCCTGGCCTGGTATTCACCATGGGGATGCGGCTCCGCTTGAGGACGGCTCTCAGACGCCGGCTGATGCGCTGGAAGCAATCACGGGGTGTGTAGGCCGGGTCCTCTGCAAGATGTCCCTGCGTGGAGCCTCTGGAGGAGCAAGCCTCGGGCCTGCCCACAAGCCAGGCTCCTCCCCGTGCGTTCCCCGGGGCACCGCCCCCACTCCAGGCCCCTCCCCGTTCTTCTCCTAGGTACCGCCCACTCGCCAGGCTCCTCCCACCCACCCCAGGTACCGCCCACTCACCAGGCTCCCCTCCACCCGTCCCCCAGGGCTCCTCTCCACCTATCCCTGGCCCGCCCACAACAGGATCAACCAGGTCCGCTTTCACTCCTCTGGTTGCCCCAACCTCCCGTCTAGGCCCACACCTCTCCTTCGGTCCTCCCCACGGCCTGGCCCCCTCCTCCGCGTCTTGCTCTTGCCCTCATCCTCCAGGTAGCGGAGAACCCTTTCCTGCTCCTCCCCAGAGCGGTTCATGAAGTCATTCCAGACCTAGAAGAGAGGCAGGCAGGACCCAGGCTCATGAGCCCCAGGTTCTCTATTTAGCCAATGGCCAGAGAGGGCCCCCAAGTGTATGGACACACTCCTCTAGACACATCTGCCCACCGGGCTGGCCAAGAGTTTATGGGGTACCCGCAGACCTGCCTGTCTGGGGCAGGGGATTGTCATGGACCAGCTAAGCCTCCCATGGACTCATTCATTCCCAGTGATGGGCAGAGGAATCAGGAGTGCTGGAAAGTTCTGGGGTGGGTAGGAGTTCTGGCTTGGTGTGGGGGCCCCGAGGGAAGCAGAGCCGGTGTTCATCAAGGGACCAAGGGGGCTGGGTGCAGATGGGTGCTCCTGAGGGAGGGACCGGCACAGGCCAGATGTGGTGTGGAAGCGAGAACAGGAGCAGGGGGAGGCGGGAGGAGGGCACAGGAGCCGCACCTCCACGTAGGTCTCATTGCTGCAGGCCTCTGCGAAGATCCCGGGTGCTGCTGGGGGTGCCAGGTCCCCGTCGTCCAGACCGGCTGTGCCCCCATCTGTCTCCAGCAGGGTTAGGAGGTACTGGGCTAGATGGAAGCAGATGAGCTCTGGGCTGGGGGGATGCCATTTGGTCCCCCCAAATGTCTCCACAGAAACCCCTGGCCTCTGCATTTAGGGCCTGTACCCTCCGGCTCACACCATCTCCCCACCTCCATGCTGCAGCTCTTTCCCAGAAGGCACAGAAACCACCCAGCCTCCACCTCCAGAACGCTTGCTTCTCCCTGGCTTGCTGAACTCCTGGATGTCTTTGAGAACCCAAGCCCCCGTGCCCAGAGCGCCTCACAGCCCCGCCTCAGCACTGCCCAGCTCAGGGCCGGCCTCGTGGCAAAAGCAGCGGATGAGAGCAACAGACGGGCCATTCCCGTGCGAGCCCCAGGAAGCCCCAGGAGGTGCGCCCAGCCCTGCTCACTGTTCTCCAGTCGCTGGAGGCTCTTCCGCCCCTTGGCCTTGGGCACAAGGTCTGAGTTCCGCACAGCCTGGTTGATGAAATGCTGTTTCCGCTTGGAGGCCGACAGCCTCTTCGCCTGGGGGCCAGCTAGCGTGGGCAGGCAGTGCGGAAGGGGCCTGTGGGCCGGGGTGGGGGTGGAGAGGCAGGCCTCAGGGCCGACCCGGGCCAGGACCGCCAGGCAGAGCCCCATTCGGTCCCTGTACCATGACATCCCCTGCTTGGTTTCCCTCAGCAATGGACAACCCCAGACCCCCCCAATTCCATTGTGTTTCACGGTCCCATCACCCAGGAGGCCCGATCAGTAAGCCGGGGCCAGAGAAGAGAAGACCCGTGCCCGAATTCACATCATGGGTGGGTGGCCAAGAAAAGCTCCTCCCGCCTCCCCCAGGCTTCCAGACCTTAACTGCAAGCCGGTGCGCCCCAGTGTCTGCAGGACTGGACCGCCCCCCCGCCCGGTGAGGATCTCAGGAGGCATGACTGAACGGAGCATCTCCCGGGCAGCAGCCGATAAACCAGGCGACAGCCTCCAGCAGCTCAAGGTGAGGCCCGAGCCCATTGCGCAAGCCCCTGGGGTCCCCCCACCCCGAATGTGCCCAGAGGCAGGCCAGAGGGCCCCCCCCAACTAATCTGCTCTCCTCCAAGCAAATGCATTAATGTGGGGATGGATTAGCGGCTTGGCTGGGCCTCCCACTGGGACAGGAGGGCCACCTGCAGACACTGGGGCACTGGGGGGGGCCGCGCGCAGAGCACTGGAAGGAGGTGTCCTGGCAAGGAGTTTCTGGCCTTCCTGTCTGCCCCCGACAGCCCCCAGACCACGGGCCAAAGGCATGTGGCCTCCTCGCCCCACCCCCAGCATGCCTGGCACAGTCCCACCTACCCCCCCCGCCCGTTGCACACTCCCCCAGACTCGGACTGGCTCTCTCGCTCATCCCCTTTGGCTCTGCCAAAACCTCTCCAGAGCCCCCCCGGCCACTATATGACACGTCCCTTCACGTTTCTGATCACTAGTTCTGCTTCAAAGCTAACTGCCCCCGTTGCCCACGACGTGGCAATCCCCGTGTAGACATTCACGGCCATGCCCCGCATGCAGGATGAGGTCTCAAAGAAAAAAAAAAAACCCATGACTCCAAGACCAAGTGGAACCCAGAGTCCAAAGTACCCCCACACTTTCCTAGGAGCCAAAGTTCCCAGGACACAAACTAAAGGCAGAATTTCGGCCTCTCCCCTCTGAGCCACAAACCTCTCAGAGGAGAATTCTCGTAGGATTAGGGAGGAAGCCAGTGCTCTCCGGGCCTACACAGACCTAAAGCGTCCGCAGCATTAAGGATCTACCTGTTCAGTGCAGAATGGCCATGACCTCTCCAGCAGGCAAACAGGCTGAGACCCACGCCACGGACGTCCCAGCAGCAAAGCAGGTGAGCTGCCAAAGCCCAGTGGGTAACAGTCCCCCCAAAACCCATGCCGTTGCCTCACGAACAAACTCACACCTGAACCAGCACCCGTCAGCAGGGGCGCGCAGGCAGAGGCACGGCGGGACCCTGGCATGTCAGTCCCGGGTTCGAATCCCAGCTAGGATGTTTCGCTGTGGAACCTGGAACCCCAGCTCACTCCCGGCCACGTGAAGAGAAAAATGGCTTCTGTGGGTGCCTTTGGGTCTGAAAGGGGATACTCAGAGCCAAGAGGGCCAAGACAGACCCTTCCCGCCTGACTCAGCAGTGCCTCCTTGGTTTCCTCCTGCTATGGGGAGCTCACCCCCATCACACGGTTGATCAAAGCATCGTCCCTGGATTGAATGTTCCTTCTCACCATCACTATCATGCCACAAGGGTGGTGATATCACACTGACACCCATTATACAGAATTGCAACTGAGGCACAGGTCATGACACTGAGGTTCCCACCATTGCAAAGAAGCCAACAAAGACAGGCCAAGGTAAACCAAGTCAGCACCGAGCCAATGACTGTGAGGCTGGCTCCACCTGAGGGCTACGCCCTGAGGCCCGAGCACCCCCACCGCGAGCCCCAGCTCACCCCCAGCCTCCTCAGGGCTCCCATGCTGTGTCTCTACCTTGGCAGCTGGAAAGAGCCCAGAGCGGCAGCCTGCTGGGGCCGATAAGAGTCCGCATCCGGGGGGGCCTTATCAGGGATGTCAGAGCAGGGTTGAGCCCTGGGGACATGGGGCTCTGACGAATGGGGCCTCCCCATCTCCTCATGAGAGTGGCAGAACCAGGATTGGGACCTGGTCAGAATGGGAACACTCCCCATGAGCCATTCAGCCTCCTGCTTCTCTGACTCCACAGAGTTCCACCCCCAACCTAGTGAAGACCCAGCTGGCCCTGCCCTGCTCCACCACCTTGCATGGCTCCCCAGAACCCTCAGGGCCAGGCCCAGCCCTGCCCTCCCCAGTATTGGGAACACAGGGGTCTGTGCCTGGCCCCACAGGCTTTTGGGGGGCTTGCCACCCTCTCGTGGGCCTCCGGCTCTGAGCTGAGCGCTGGAGTTGAGTCCCTGTCTACAGCCATACCACCCTGAACGCGCCCGATCTCATCTGGAAATTGAATCCCACCACCAACTCAAGGCGGCTGACATCAACCACATTCCAGCAGAAGGCAAGAAACATGTGGCCTCCAGGGCCAACGGCTGGGCTTGGACCCTCACTCAAGAAGGAGAGGACAGGGGCGCCTTGGTGGCTCAGTCGTTAAGTGTCTGTCAGGTCATGGTCCCAGGGTCCTGGGATCGAGCCCCGCATTGGGCTCCCTGCTCAGCGTGAAGGTTGCTTTTCCCTCTCCCACTCCCTCTGCTTGTGTACCCTCTCTCACTGTGTCTGTCAAATAACAAAATCTTAAAAAAAGAAAGAAAGAAACAAATAAAATCTTAAAAAAAGAAAGAAAGAGGGGACAGCAGAAGCAGGCATGGCGGAAGCAGCAGGCCACAAATACCCAGTAAATCAGATTTGTAATGAAGGTTGCGGGTCCTCCGCTCCAGGCACAGCGACCCCCTCACAGGGCCTCAAACCCCCAGGAACAATCGACCTCAGGGCCTTTGCACATGCTGAGCCTGCTGCCTCCAGTGCGCCTTCTCAGCACATTCTGTTCGTATATCAACTGGGAGAAGCCGCCCTGCTCCTGGCTTGCCCAACTAACACCTCACTTCCCATGCCAGACCCTTATGAACAGGAGGGTCCCCAGCACCTGCCAAGGGCCAGGTCAGCTATTTCCCAGACCACCCAAAGAGACCACTTTACAGATGGGGAAACTGGGGACCCAGACAGGGCACCCTAGCCTTCCTGGCCTCAACAGGACTCAGGAAACGGCTGCATCGTGAAAGCTGCTGGTGCCCCACGAAGGTGGACAGGCCCAGGTAGAAACAGCGGCCAAATCAGGTTGAGCACCTTTTCTCTTGGGCTAAAATATACTTTTCTCTGGCACCAGGCCCCTCCCCCAGGAACAGGCAAGAGAGGAACCTATTTCCCGAAGCAGGAAACTGAGGGGGGAGGGCTCAGAGCGCAGAGGTGACTCAGGCTGGGGTGGGGTCACCTGGGGCCTCCAGCAGTGACCGCACCCCCCCAGGGACACACAGGGGTGAAGGAGCATTGGGGACATCCGTGGGGACCCACTGGCAGGTTAATACCCACTTGGATGGGTAAGGCCCCTTAAAAGAAGGAAAATACCCACATCTGTAGAGCCCACAGGCTTCTGGGTGAAAGCCCAGGGGGAGGTAACAAAGGAGTAATAATAAATGTATCATGAAACAAATTACACAATAAGATGTTTCAGATAATAATTAAAGAATGGCTGCTCCCTTCTGCTGGGCACAGGGTCGTAGACCTCCCCCCTGCCCCTCCTAGCCATTCTGAGAAGAGGCCGCTACTATACCTCGGTTTACAGATGGAGAAACTGAGGCATATACTGCCCAGGCGGCCGGGCCGGCACGCGGAGGAGGCAGCAGCCTCCTTGCCCCCCACAAACCAGGACCACAGGGTGGGTGGCTGTTTTCTGCGGGAACATCCCGGTTAAACAGGACTCTAGCCCAGCCACTCTAGGGTCTGCACCCAGAGTGGGCGGCTCCGCCCCCCCGGGTTCGGGGCACCCCACGCGTCGCATCTGTCAAGTACCCGGACGTGAACAAAGGGCCTTGTCTGCTCGGGAGGTGGGGGGCCGAGAGACCCCCCCCCAGGCAAACGCGGGCTGGCGGGGGGGGGCCTCTCTCTACCCAGCCTGGGGGCAGGAACAGCAGCCCGTGCGTAAACACCCCGAACAGCAAAGCGGTTTCCGGGGGCGTCTCGCGCAGGGGCACCCCCACCTGAGACGGGGGCGAGGCGCAGGAGACCCCCCACGTGAGTCAGCGCCGGGGCACCGGGCCGGGGGCGCACCTCTGGGCCCCGGAGGCACGTAAACGCACAGACCGGGTGTGCCCCCCCTGCCCAGACACCCGGACGCGCCGCGACTGGGCTCTCCCGGGTGGCAACAAAGCCCCCCACCCCCACCCCACGGCGCTCGGGGGGTCTCCGCCAGGAGAAGGGGCGGGGCGGCCTGGGGCTGCAGCCGGACAGTAGGGGAGAGGGGAGCAGAGCGGGTGCAGGAGTCCCCGGAGGCCTGGCCGCCCGCCCTGCCGCGCTCACAGCGTCCGCCGCCCGCCCGGGGCGCTTCCCACCGCCGCCGCCGCCTCCTCCGAGCCGCCCTCCGGGTTCTCCAGTGCGACCATGGCTCGGGCGCTGTGGTCGCCGCGGCCCGGCGGGGCCTTCTCGGCCAGAGCAGGAAGTGACGGGCGCCCAGAGGCGGGCCGGGGCGGAGCCTGGAGGCTGGACGCGCCGGGCGGGGGCCGAGGCCACGAAGCCGGCGGATCCCGGGCTGCGGGTGGCGGGCACCCAGCCCCGGGGGTCAAGCGGGACAGCCGGGGCGGAGAACGGGGACCGCAGCCAAGCCTCCAGGTTGCGGGTGTGGGATGGGGCCACACCCAGCCCCGAGGAACAGACGGGGAAACTGAGGGGGGAGGGAGCGTGATCCCTGCCCCTGAAGCCTGGGGGGGGGTGGTGCGCGGGGGGCGGAGGGTGGCGGGGAAACTAAGGCCTGGGCAGCCAGGAGAGAGGAGGGACATCCATTTCAGAGGGAGGGGACAGATGAAGGGACCCAAGCCCCAGCTCCCCTACCCCCCAGCACCAACTTGGCTTTTCCTCTCACCAGCCCCTCCCCGCCTGTGTTCCAGGGCAGCCCGGGAGCATGGGCTGGGTGCCTCAGTTTACTCGTGTCTAAAAATAGGATATGAGCTTCCACCTCCTTTCACCTTTAAGGACTTCTTCATTGAACGAATGCCCTCTGTGGGCACGGCCCAGTAATGGGCTCTGGGGATGCAGCAGTGACCAAGGCAGACCCTTTCCCCACCAAGTGGGATAGGAAAGAGGAGTTCTCTGAGAGAGGGACTGGTCAGCTGCAAAGTGGGAAGGGCATGTCAGGCAGAGAGAACAGCCAGTGCAAAGGTCCTGGGGCATTCTAAGTAACCAGAGCAGGGTGATGAGTGAGCACACGGGGGATGGGAGTAGACAGCAGAGGGTGGATCCGTGAGCCTGGAGGTCCTGGGAGGGGAGGTCTGGTTTTTGTTCAGAGGCAACGGTGAGCTATGGGGAGGGGGGGTAGAGAAGAGAAATAAAGCTGCTGTGGAATCTAGAACCCCCTTCCATCTACAAGAAGAGTGGGGGTCTAGGACCATGTCAAGTGACAGCACAGGGATATAACCTGCCACACGCAACCTGCTGGAAGTTGTGCAGGACACGTGACCAGATCGCCTTAACAAATAGAGAGCAACAGGTTCGGGAGGAGTGTGAGGAGGAGGAGGAGGGACTGCTAAGCGCCCCCAGAGCACGTGCTGTGTGACATCACATAGATAAATGTGAGAAGATACCACAGGAATCGATGGTGATTCAAACCCCAGGAGAAGGTGCCTCTGGGCAGAGGGACAGACAGGGGGTCCTGAGGGCCAGGAGCCTTTGGTCCCCTGGTCCGGCCCATGATGACTAGCTCCATGAACGTGCTGGTGGGAGAGGGCACAGCGTGGGCCTCGGCCTGATTCTGGAGTCTCCTGCGCGGGACCCTCCCAACCCCCTCACGGACCCTCCGTGCCCCAGGAGCCGCCTCCGCTGCCCGCCGCCCCCACCCCAAAGGTCCAGCCATGCCCTCAGCACTCTCCCAGGCCCTTGGACTCAGCTGCGGCCCCAAAAGAGTCCCTCCTCCTAGCAAGTCTGGGTTTCCTCATCCTGGTCTGCTGCTCATTCCCCTCCTGACTTTCTAGGCTGGTGTCGAGAATAACTTTGAAGGCGGAAAGTGGGTGAACGGGCAGTACCCCTCTCCCAGAGTCGCTGGCGATGGTGATGATGTGCCGCAGGGGCCCAGGGCCTGTTTCCCCGTTTCTCCCCTCCCCCACCTCTTAGTCACAGTTTCCTCAATGGTGGCGTCTTTTAGTCTCTGTGTGGTACTCCACGACGGCAGGAGCATTCTGGCACACTGAAGCATGCCTCGTGGGTAGTATTATCTGGGGTACATTTCTGAGTGTGGGTTTTGGGGGTCAGCGGTGTCCTTGCAGAATGCCCTCCACCTGGTTCCTGCCACCAAGGTCACAGGTGCCCACATCCCCGGTGTGAGTATCTGCTACCGGCGGTCGCTTAGGTGGGAGGCAGACACCCCAGTTACAGCAGTGGAGTCCTAGGGAGCTTCTTCAAGACCAGGAGTCAGCTGACGGCTAGATCCTAGGCAGCCCTGCCTGTGGCTCTCCAGGACCCCTCCTTGCATCCCCGGGTGCCAGGGCCCACCCACTGGAGCCCCAGGCACTCGGAAGGTCAAAGTCATGGCCACTACCAAGGGGCCTTCTCTTGCATCTGTGTTTTGGTCCAGCCTGCTCGCTGGTCCTGTGGGTCTCTACGTCCTGTTAGGATCGTCCTTCTAGGACCCATAGCAGCCTCCACGCAGCTGACCCCTCTCCCCTGGCTCCCCAAGCCCCTCCTTCAGCCTGTCCCCTCCAGTGCGCTCGCCAGGACTGTGGACTACAGAAGGAGAGGAAAGAAAGGGGGAGAAGTTGGCTGTGCACGTGAATGGAGGGCACGCGGGAAGGAGAGGGGGGAAGGCGGGGACAGGGCGGGCAGCAGGATATAAACTCGCAGGAGCTGATTCGAGAGCGGAGAAGCTGCCCAGCCCGGCGGAGCGGCCCTCCAGACCCGGTGGCCTCCAGCTGAGACCCTTCCCTGTGCTCGGAGGGCGTGTCCCCAGCAGGAGGCCAGGAGGAGGGTCCCCACGGTGATCCCAGAACGCAGCCAAGGAAGAGGACTGCGGAGCCATGAGCGCCGTGGCCATGTGGGCGCCCAACGCAACCTGGAGGGTGCTGGCCAACGCCTCGGGCGGCGGGGCCCCGCAGCTACCGCCGGTGGACGCCTGGCTCGTGCCACTGTTCTTTGCCGCACTGATGCTGCTCGGCCTGGCTGGGAACTCTCTGGTCATTTTCGTCATCTGCCGCCACAAGCAGATGAGGACGGTGACCAACTTTTACATAGGTGAGCGCCGGGACGCTGCACGGAGCCTGCCTGCCACGCTGGGGTCCCGTGAGGGGAGGGGGCTCCCCCAGACGGGTCCTGTCCCTGCCTGGGGGCTAGAGCTCCAGAGGGTTCCACGCACGGTGGTTCAGAGGGAGGTTGCAGAACGGCTCCCTGAGAGCCGGGCCCTGAGCCTTGAGGAAGGGGTCTGATCCAAATGTGGTTCTTGTAACCCCGTGCCCAGTGAACTAAAGTACGACCTTTGGTCCATGGCCCCGTTCACACGTTTGTGCCCTGGGCTTGCCCACCTGGCACAGGTGAGTGCTCAGCTTTCTGCATCCGATGGTGGCGGCCAGTGGCACCGCTGCCTCCAACCTTCAGGCGGACAGGGAAGCCCCGTGCTCTGGCTCTTCCAGTGGGACGGGGTGAGCCGCGCTGTGGACTGACCCCTGAATGCCTAATGAAGCCCGTGCAGAGGGGATGTTTGCAACGTAAAAGTGGGGGACTGGGGGGATGCCCCAAATTCTCTGCCTGAGGACGTCGCGGGTGAGCGATCCCGCTGGTTAGGAAGGCAGAGACCTGGGGCCTGGGCTCGGGCGTTGGGCGTTGGGCGTTGGGTGGTTGAGGCTCCCCGCGCGTTCGCCCCTGCAGCCAACTTGGCGGCCACCGACGTGACCTTCCTGTTGTGTTGCGTGCCCTTCACGGCCTTGCTCTACCCGCTGCCCGCCTGGGTGCTCGGCGACTTCATGTGCAAGTTCGTCAATTACATGCAGCAGGTGCACGGGCTAGGGGAGGGAGGGGGCACCAAGGGGCGGGGTCTGGGTGTGGGCGGGTTGGACCCTGGGTGGGGCGGGGTCGAGGAAGAAGTGGAGCCCGGATGCACCGACCTGGGGGAGAAGGACTCCGCGGGTACGTGAGTTACCGACCGGGTGTGGGCTACGGAGGTGGGCATAGGGAGGGCGATCTGGGTCCTGCGGTTTCTTGCCCGGTCCCTCCCGCGATCCTAGGATGGCTCTGCCTCCCCTGTCTCAGTGCCGGGTCTCCGCGGACCTCAAATGGCTCCCTCAAACCTCCGCTCTCCTGGGATCCTCTCTGGTGTCCCCCTCTCCTGCCCCTTCAACCGTGGCCCATGGAGACCTTCCCAAGACACGTCCCATTTGTGCCTGAGTGTCTGGAGATCTGGAGGGAGCCACAGTGTGGGCGCAGACAGGGTAGGGCCCAGGCCCGACCCAGGGCGAAACGCCCAGCTCTCCGCCCTCGCAGGTCTCCGTGCAGGCCACGTGCGCCACCCTGACTGCCATGAGCGTGGACCGCTGGTACGTGACCGTGTTCCCCCTGCGCGCCCTGCACCGCCGCACGCCCCGCCTGGCTCTGGCGGTCAGTCTCGGCATCTGGGTGGGTGAGTGCAGCGCGAGGGCCGCCCGGGGATGGGGATTCGAGGACAAGACTTTGTGCCTTGGGCACCCCCACCCCCACCGGCCCCTGCCCGGGCGTCGGTCGTGGGCCTCACTGTGCGCGCATCTGGGAAGTGAGCTAAATAGCGCGCCCTGGGGGCCCCGCGCTGGGGAGACGCCCGGTGACGCTGCCCGAGGAGGCGCCCGGCGTCCCTCGTCCCTCGGGCAAGGTCTTCAAGCTGCCCTGTGGTCCAGGCTCTGCGGCCGTGTCGGCGCCTGTCCTCGCTCTGCACCGCCTCTCGCCAGGGCCCCGCACCTACTGCAACGAGGTGTTCCCCAGCCGCGCCCTTGAGCGCGCGTTCGCGCTCTACAACCTGCTGGCGCTCTACCTGCTGCCCCTGGCCGCCACCTGCGCCTGCTACGGGGCCATGCTGCGCCACCTGGGCCGCCCTGCCGCCACCGACAGCTCCCTGCAGGTGTGCTGCTGGGCGGGGTTTGGGGGTGTGGGGGTGCGGGACTCAGGGGGAGGCCGAGCGGGAGAATGTGCCAGGGTCGAGAAGGGGAGCTCTGGGGGTGCCCGGCCGTGAGTTCAAGCCCCGCCTTGCGCCTAGAGCTTAAAGATAAAATAAAAGTAAAATAAAATACAAATAAAAACGGAGGGGAGCTCTGACGAGTCGCCCCAGCCGGCCTGCAGCCTTGCCTCCCACCACATCCCTCCATCCCCAGGGGCAGCTGCTGGCAGAGCGAGCGGGCGCTGTCCGGGCCAAGGTCTCTCGGCTGGTGGCCGCCGTGGTCCTGCTCTTTGCCGCCTGCTGGGGCCCTATCCAGCTGTTCTTGGTGCTGCAGGCGGTGGGCCCGGCGGGCGCCTGGCACCCGCGCAGCTACGCAGCCTACGCGCTCAAGACCTGGGCGCACTGCATGTCCTACAGCAACTCCGCGCTGAATCCCCTGCTGTACGCCTTCCTGGGCTCCCACTTCCGGCAGGCCTTCCGCAGGGTCTGTCCCTGCGCTCCCCGGCGGCCCCCGCAGCACCCGGGGTCTGGACCCTCGCACCCCGCCGCCCCCCACACGGAGTCGCACCGCCCGGCCGCCCACCCGGACACCGCCAGGACCCGGACACCAGGGAGCCTTGCATGTGGCCCGAGGGAGCCCGCAGGCTGTGTGTCCTGAGGGAACACGCTGCCCCCTCTGGGCCCACTCGGGTTTAGAACGGGCCCTCAGGGACAGGGGCTGCCTGGTTATAATTAATGTCTTTATTTCGTGCAACATCATCACAGTGAAAATGTCTTGTCCTCCTGATGGTTCCCCACGAGTGTGCTGTCCCGTGGGCTATAGATATTGTCATGACTTACTGCTGTTTCCTGACGCTGAAGACACTTAGGTACTGGCCCTCCCTGGAAATTTCCCCCAAAGCATCTGCGGACATTTTCCACACAGGGCCTTGCAGAGGTAACATTGTAAGCTTCATCCAAGTTTCCAGAAATATTAAAATGTGAACACCATGTGCATTTTAAAATGACAGAAATAGGGGCGCCTGGGGGGCTCAGTGGGTTAAAGCCTCTGCCTTCGTCTCAGGCCATGATCCTGGGGTCCTGAGATCGAGCCCCGCATCGGGCTCTCTGCTCAGCGGGGAGGCTGCTTCCTCCTCTCTCTCTGCCTGCCTCTCTGCCTACTGTGATCTCTCTCTCTCTGTCAAATAAATAAATAAAATCTTTTAAAAAATTAAAAAAAAAATGACAGAAAAATAAGGTCCTAGTGCAGCCACCTGGCGTGTGTCCAGAGTCCTGCTGGGGGAACTGGGCATCACTGAGGAAGCAGGTCCTCGCTGGAGCTCTGTACCCGGAGCCGCCCGCGAGAGGAACAGGACTGTAATAAGTCGCCCCAAAACAGAGGGCGGCCCAGCAGACTATCACTCACGATTCTGGGGGGTGACTGGGCTCAGCGGGACCAGGAGGCCCGAGGAGGCTTTGCTCTCATGCTTGGTGGCCGAGCACGGGTTGCTGGGGATGGTCAGACTCATCCCTTGGCAGAGCTTCTAAGAGGTGGCTTCTTCTAAGAGGCCTGGGCTCCAAGGTCCCACCACGTCGTTTTTCCACACTGAAGCCTGGGAGCTGCCCCAGGGCCACCCGAGGCCGCTTGGGTGGGGCTGTGTGTGTGCGCGGGAGGGGGGATGAGCTCAGCCTCCCCCCAACAGCCCTGCGGGCAGAGGCTTACTCACCCCGCAGGGCCACCGCCAGTCTCTGAGAGGGCCCCCATCCTCCCAGATTATCTGGGGACATCACGGACTTCCAAACAATCCAACTTGGCACAGATGTTACTGTGAGACCGAAAAGCCAAAACATAGGGCCATTTTGACATTCGCCTGAAGCTTACTGGTTACTATTATTACTTTTTAAAGTAGGCTCCACAGCCAACATGGGGTTCAAACTCATGAATCTGAGATCAAGATCAAGAATCACACACGGGGGGCGCCTGGGTGGCTCAGTGGGTTAAGCCGCTGCCTTCGGCTCAGGTCATGATCTCAGGGTCCTGGGGTCGAGTCCCGCATCGGGCTCTCTGCTCAGCAGGGAGTCTGCTTCTCTCTCTCTCTCTCTCTCTCTGCTTGCCTGTCTACTTGTGATCTCTCTCTGTCAAATAAATAAATAAAGTCTTTAAAAAAAAAAAAAAAAGAATCACACACGGAGCCAGCCAGGTGTCCCTGAGGCTTGCTTGTTGCTTCCAACACTAGCCTCCAGACTGGGCAGAACAAGAGGGTGAAATTCTCCTCCTTTGCCCACAGGCCCCGCCAACCCCTCCCCCGGCCTCCACCCCTGCCCTCCCAACTCATGGTCTCTCTGCAGCTGCTTGAACTGCTGCCATCCCTCTGCCCCTGGGCCTTTGCACACGCTGGTCCCTCTGTCACGCCAGCTGTTCTTGCTCACCCATCAGGTCTGAGCTCAGCTGCTCCTCCTCTAGAAAGCACTCCTGGGACCCTCTCACCCACGTGTCCCTTGCCACCCCCATCACAACACCGACGTCCTCCTGTTACCTGCTGGGTGCCTCCCTGACTCGGTCCCCACTGTGTCCCAGGACCCCACGCACAGTGGGGCTGAGTACACGTTTGTGGAGAAAGCACAAGTGTGCTGTGGGGGCTAACACAGGTATGTGCAGAGGGGGCGGCACCTTTGCTGCTGGAGAAGATGAATTTTTATTCTTCGTTCTATTTTATTTTTTTGGAAAATGAATTTTTAAAAAAATAAGGTAAAGAAGGGGCTCTGGGGACTTCATGTCGGAGAAATGAAAAGTCCCTTTACGCAAAACCCCTTCACGTGTTCCCACAGCAGCTTTACCTGAGGTCACTGCCACGGGAACAGCTCGTGGGTCCTCCAGCCGGTGAGTGGGTGGGCAAAGGGTTTGGCCTGCACCATGGAACACCCCTCAGTGGGAAGTCGTTGTGGACGCCCTGTGCAGACAGGTGGCCCCGGGGACGATCTCCCAGAATCACGCAGGACAAAAAGACACCCCCCCAATGTTACCTGATGTACGAGCCCACCTAACAGCACCCTTGTGATGAGGACGTTGTGGGAGTGGAGAAGAGATGAGCCCCTGCCCGGGGAAAGGGGGGAGGGGTGGTGAGGAGGGAGGGTGGGCAACGGGGAGATCCAAGTAGGGTGGGTGGATTCTGGTTGGGACATGGTGGCACAATTCTGCCGAGTGCGGCTGTCGGGGAGAACCTCGGGTTCCTATCAGGATTTACAGCGAACTCAGAAAAACACACACAGTCCAAGGGTTGAGAGGGAGGTCCAGGAGGAGTCCTCCAGAGCCTGCTCGGCCGGATCTTGTCTGCAGAGGCCCTCCCTGGGTGCCAGGCTCTGCCCTGGGGACTGGGCCACAGCAGAGACAAGGAGCAACCTCTACAGAGTCCCTGTGTACTTGTCCACAGAGGGGGCGAATGACCTGCGGAGACACAAAGCGACCGCAGGGAAGAAGGTTAGGAAGAGACCTGGGTGCCCTCTGTGAGTAACTGGGAGCCTGCCTCCGTGGGGGCAGGTGCAGGAAGGCTTCCTGGAGGAGGCGAGTCTGGGAAATGTGAATGCAGCTTGGAGGTGGTGGAAGAGCAAAAGGGTCGGAAGGCACAGGCAGTGCAAAGGCCCCGAGGCAGGCTATGTCTAGTGGGTTAAGGCCCATGGGGCCAGAGGAGGGTGAAGTGGGAAGGTCGCCAGCAGCAGGGACGATCTGGGTCTTTGCCAAGGGTGCTGGGAGCCATGGGGCTTCTAAGTGAGGAGGGACGCGGTCCCAGCTATTTCAGGACCACGACGGTTCCTAGCCACAGACTGCGTACCAGGCAGCACAGTCCACCTGCGAGGGAAGCAGTAAACAACCTGCTGAGACCGTGTTTACCCACTTACCGCGAGCGAGTGGGGGACCAGCAGGCAGGGGTGGGGGGAGGCAGGCTCCCCGCTGAGCAGGGAGCAGCACACGGGTGGACCTGAGACCATGACCTGAGCCGAAGACAGAGGCTTAACCCGCTGAGCCCCCCAGGCGCCCCGAAAACCTTTTAGTACAGGGAAGTCCCGTGCGATAGCAATACACCGGGGATCCCGCCCTTATCCAGCGGGTCTACCGCAGAGCGCTCCGAAGAGCTACAGGGGAGAAAAGACCTCCGCGGCCTCGGTTTCCCGGTCTGACCCGAGGATCTCGTTGTCAAGGGATAGGGCGCCACCTGGCGGCCGCCCGCGGGAGCCCAGGCGCGCCGGTGCCGGCCCCGCCCCTGACTGCAGCCCCGCAGGTGCCCGGCAGGTGGTGCGCGCGCCCCACGGAGGTTCCGGGCTCAACTCCGCCGAGGCGTCCCCAGCGCCTGGGCGGGGGGCGCTCATGGGTACCCCAACCCCGACCCTGGCCGAACGTTTCCCCGCCGCAAGATGGGTGAAGCAGAGCCGCAGTATGAATTTCCCGGGTCTTACCCACTTTTGGCTCATGAGTCCCGTCCTTAAAAAAGTACCAAATGTGATATTGTATAACTATGTTGATATAAAAACTAACAAAGGGGCGCCTGGGGGGCTCAGGTCATGATCCAGGTTTCCTGCTCAGCGGGGAGCCTGCTTCTCCCTCTGCCCCCCCATCTCTAATAAACAAGTAAAAATCTTTTAAAAACTTGAAAAAAGGGGCACCTGTGTGGCTCAGTGGGTTAAGCCTCTGCCCTTGGCTCAGGTCATGGTCCCAGGGTCCTGGGATTGAGCCCCGCATAGCTTCAGGCTCTCTGCTCCGTGGGGAGCCTGCTTCCCCCTCTCTCTCTGCCTGCCTCTCTGCCTGTTTGTGATCTCTGTCTGTCAAATAAATTAATTAAAAAATCTTAAAAAAAAAACAACTTGAAAAAAATCTACATTAAATTAGGCTGGATGTATTATCACATAACCCGTAATTACTAGCATATTTGCTTCTTTTTTGTTTTCAAAGTTGTAAGAACTGCATTTCCATGGAGCCTGGCTCACAGGGACAAGTCAACAAGAGGCCAGGGCCAGGGCTCAGTGACAGCGCCCAACACCCCGTCCCAGGCCTGTTTGGCCTTGATTTTGGAAATCAAGATGGTGAATTGTTCCATCTGCCCTCCACCTCTGTGTAGACAGACACCAAAAATCCCATGGGGTGAGACAGGGAACGCATGAATTCATTCAACCAACCAACCAACATTTATTGAGCACCTACTGTGTGCCATGCACAGCCTAGAGGGTTGGAGATCCAGCTTCCAGCAAGGTCGGACAGTTAAACGGAATCAAGACATTTCAGAACAGAGCACCTGGATGAAGATAAAATGGGCTGACGTGATGGGGGCACATCTGACCCTGAGAGGTCAAGGAGGGACACCCCCCCAGGAGCTGAGGCTGCAGTTTGCATCAGGACAGGGTGCTATCCGGTGACTGGGGAAGGGCACTCCCGCAGGGGAGCCACCAGGGCAAAGGCCCCAGTGTGGGAATATGTTTGAGCAGGAATAACATGGGCAGGTGGACAGTAGGGGATTTGGGTGAATTTTGAAGAGCGTGCCCCCCACCCCCACCCCCAAGTGGGGAGCAGGTGAGCGGGGACCTGGGCCTGCTGCCCACTCCCAGTGGAGCCAGCAAGTCTGTGTATCAATTCCCAGCTCCCTCCTGGCGCTAAAAATAGGGGCCCCCTCACTGGAGGCAGCTGGGAATCCTGCAGCCCCTCACCCTCTGGGGCTGGGCACCTCTGGGGGAATAGGGACAGCAGCTTTCCCCTGGGAGATGGGGGAGGGGCAGCACCCCACCTGCCCTTCTGAGTATCCCCACCATGCCCCCCTTCTTCTGAACAGAAGTAAATAGAACCCTCAAAACAATTCTGCAAGGAATGAATTGATGTAGATGTGTTTTACAGGGGGAAACTGAGGCACAGAGAGGCCCGGCATCCAAGCTGGGGTGGGGCAGGGGGTGCATTCAGATCTGTTTGGCTCTTTGGTAGGGGAGAGGCTCTCTTGCACTTTGGAGAAGTGGGGCCTGGGGCCTGGACCCTTATGGGGACCCAGCTCACCTGGGTCTCTCCAAACTTTCCCCTCCTTGGGCAGATCTCTCTGCCCCTCCCAGTGGAGGTCGGGGGAGGCAGGCAGCTGGGGCTGGGTGTTTAACAGCCTAAAGTGGAGGCCTCTGCCACCTGCTACCATTAAATAGGAGAGGCCCTGGGGCTGGCGGGCAGGGCTGCAGCCTGGGCTGGGGGTAGCTTTCCCTCACCCATCACCTTGGCTTGGGAATCCCCCCCCACCCCCAGCAGGAAACCTGCAATTTGCAGGGAGGCTTGATGTCCTAAAAAGGTGTCAGGGCTGTGTGCCTTAGGGCACAGGGACAGGGCTGCCCAAGAAACCAGCACTGAGGGCCAGACCCTTCAGAAGTTCCCCACCATGCCAACTCCCCCTCCCCCCACCATGCTCCCGTTTGGCTCTTTGGGCTGGGGCCTGGGTCTCTGCACTAGCCCCTGAGGATTGCCTCTGGGCGACAGACCCGCTGAGGCCACACACCCCCTCCCCCCCAGCCCTACTCTGTGCCTCTGGGGACACTGAGAGTCTCTTCTACGTAAGATGTGAGCGCCGCGCCCAGGGCGCACGGCCGTGGCAGGCTCCGAGGGAGAAAACTGTTCCTATCACCCGGGGAATAATCTTGTCTATCCTAGAGGGTGATAGTCCTGGAGGGGGTGGGGGTCGTCTTGATGTTCCTCGAGTCACTCCACCACCCCCACGACTCTGCTGGAGCAGTGCCCCCGCCCCCCCCCAGCCATTCCCTCTCCAGACCCCTCCCCACCCTGCAGCGCCCCCACCGCAGGGCCCTGGTGCCCTCCTGGCATCCCGGCCTGCTCCTGTTCTCGGTCTCATAGCCCTAGTCACTACCGGGTGTTTAATCCCCATTCTACAGATAAGGCCGCGGAGGCTGGGGTAGTGGGGGCAGTCACTAGAGTCAAGCCGCCAGTCTATGGGACAGGGGTGAAACTCCGAGCTCGGCAGGGCCGGCCCATTCTAGGTGCCGGTTAAGAAGGTGAAGTGGTCCCCAGCCCGGCTCCGGTCCCTCCAGCCCTCCCAGGAGGAGGTCCACCCCCCTCCCCTCCCCCTCCGACGCTCCAGTCCAGCCCGCGCCCTCCGCGCCCCGTGCGTTCGGGGCCCCGGCGCGCACTTTGCCCACCGTCCCTAGGCAGGGGGCGGAGCCTCCCGCGTCGCTGTTCCCCTTCCCTTTTTATTATTTATTATCATTTAAAGGGGCCCTGACCTGAAAATTTCTGGCCACTCTCCCCCCCCTTCCGAACACCCCTGGGCTGCTGGTGCGTCTTCGGACCGAGTGCGAGGGCCGAGGGGGCGTCCGGGAAGGGGGAGGGGGCCTCCCGAGACCCCTCCCCGCGTCCCGGGCCGCAGCGCTGAATCACCGGCGAGGTATTTGCATCTGAGAGCGATTTGTCACCCGGTGATTTGTCTGCGGGGCGGTGAGCGCGCCGGCGGGGGGAGGGGAGGGGCGGGGGAGGCCGCGCGCGGGGAGACTCTTACCAATCGGGTCGGATGGGGGTGTAGACGCGGACTCGGCTGGCGGCTCGGTGAGTCGGCGCGCGGCACAAACCCGGCGGCGGCCGGGAGCCAGCAGCGCGCAGCTCGCGGCCCGGGGCCGGAGGCCAGGCGCGGCCGGGGCTGGGCTGGACGCCAGGCGCAGGGCATGCGCCCCCCGAGCGGGCCCTGCGCGGTGAGGCGCGGGGGGGGGCGGGAGGCCGGCCTTTTAAGCCGCGGGTTCCGGCCCTGGGTGGGCGCAGTGCGCCCGGGAAGCCGGCGAGGGGGTCTCCAAAGTTGGGCAGGGACGGGGATGGGGGTTCGGGACCGACGAGGCCGCCGTAGCGGGTCGGAGTTGGGGGTGTTAACTCGGCGACCCCCCTCGGAGACCTCACCCCCCCACCACACTGCGCGAGGGCGATCGGGGGTCGCGAGGGAGCGCTGCCCCCCACCCCCCGGCGGAAGGAAATGGTCCCTCGGCGCGCGCGGGGGGCTGCACTCCGGGTTCTTATCGCACGTTCTCCCCGGAATCGGGCGCTGTGTTCCGGAGCCCCGCGGGGAGCGGCAGCGCCGGGTGGGGAGGGCAGGTCCCCGGCGACCCTCTCCAGCCCCGACTGCTTACTTAGGAGGTGCGGGCTTCGGAGGCGAAAAGAGCCCCTGGAGGGGGACCCCAGCATGCTCGCGCCCGGCGTGCGCTCGGCGGGGCGGCCCGCGCTCTGGCGGGGATCCCCGGGAAAAGCCCCCCTGCCCCGGTCAGTGCCCCCCAGACACAAAAGCGGGCGCAGGAAGCGCGGGGAGCGCGCGTTTGTCAACTCCAACGTTCGGCGTCCGACCCCAGGCGGCGGATTTGTCAATAATCTTCCGTTTTTAGTCGCCCGGGCTGGAGGGGTTGCCCCCCCAACCCATGCAAATCGGTCGCTTTCCAAGAAGCCTTTGAAATCCGGACTGGGGTTTTTGTCGTCTTATTTCTTCTCTTTCTTCGGTTTTTCTTTTCTCACTTCCTCCGGGCCGCCCCCCTCCCAACTCTGCTAGCCCCCTCCCCGGCTTTCTGCCCCACCCCACCCCCTCTTCCCTTCGTGGAGTGAGGGGCCCCTTTCGCCACCCGCGGGCCCCAGCCTTGCACAACTCTTTAAATAACCGTGTTTTGCAAGGCCCGGCCCGAGCGGGTGACCTCTCTCTCCGGGAGGCATTGGGGGGAGGGTGTGGCCCCGGATCCTTCTGGGCCCCTGGTCAGGTCTCAGCGACCACCCAGCACCCCCCACCCCTGCCTGGTCCCTGCCTGTGAATGCCTCTCCCTTGGGGTTGTCATAAAGTGGGGGTGGGGGCTGAGGACAAAGGGCTCTTGGGGGAGGGGTCTAGAGGGGGTGGGCGTCGCCAGCTTAGGGTTAATGGCGGCCATGGGGGCCCCAGGCACGGCCCAGGGGAGTTCTGGGGTTCCCACCTGCCTCCCCCCACCAGCCCCAACGTGGAGGCCTGCCCTGCTCCCCTCCCCCACTAGGCGACCCGGAAGGGTCATTAAACCCAGCAGGCCTGGGGGTGGGAGGCTGGGGGGGGAGTGGCTTCCTCTGGCCTCTTCCTTCTGCCCCCCAAACAGGAGGGGAGGTGTTGCCTGGAGCGTTTCCGTGAGGAGGGGGGGCTCGTCTTGAAGTTGTCAAATGTGGGGGAGGGGCAATGGACCAGACTAGACACTGGGTGTGAAATGTGCCCTCAGCACTTCTTTGGGCTGGTGGGGGGGTGACCACCAGTCCTTGAGGGGACAGGGAGTGGGGGGCTGGGTGCTGCTTTGCTGCCTCTAATGACAGACTGCATTGGCCACTCTCCAGCCCTGTGGCCTCGGAGAGGGTCTTTGTGCCCTGAGACCCCTGCCGGATACCGAGGTCCTCTGGGGACATGTGCCATCCCTGTTTCCCACAGGGGCCACCCACCTGCCCCACCCACACTGCCCTTTCACCTGTTCAGATGAAAGCTCCAGGGTGTCTGGGGAGAAGGCAGTAGGGCCACTGAACCCCCCCTGACTGGGGAGGTGCGGGGGTGTCTATACTGCAGGATTCCTGTGAGTAGGGTCAGTTTCCACTTCAGGGGTTGCCACTGAGTTGGGAGGGCTGCCGGCCAGGTGTGTGAGCGTCCGCTAGCTGCCAGGGTCGTGGGAACCTGTCTGCCCTGGGAGCCACTGAGGGGCTCACTTGCCAGGTCAGGGACAGTCTCCTGCCCCTCCATCTCCCGTCCCCCATCCCTGGGAGGTATTGTCCAGGGTGTCACCGCTGGGCCTGTTGGGTTCTGCCCGGTTGGTTTTACTGGAGGGCGGGAGGGGGTGTGGCTGGTGCTGGGGTCCGGGGCGGGGGTGGGACCTGCGTCCTTCTGTCCTGGTGGGGCCAGCTCTGCCAGGTCCCAGATGTTCCTGCCTGAGATGCTGAGGAGACCCCAGGCTGGGGCACGACACCTCATGCTGGGATGTTGGCCCCACTTGGGGTCCCAAGAGGCAGGAGAACTCCCCTGCAGAGGTCACATGGGGTGGTGAGGGAGTCTATGATGTCACCCAGACCCTGCCCCTAACCCAGCCTCCCCTGGAACCTGCTGTGTGTGTCTTCTCGGCCACCAGCTCACCCATGGGCCTCAGTGCTTTATATGCCTAATGTGAGTCCCACCCAGAGCCCCCTTCCCTAGCATGGATGGGGGCCCGCTGTATGCATGCTTGAGAACAGACAGGTGGGCGCTGTCAAGACACTGTCCTTCAGATGGGGAAACTGAGGTACAGAGAGGTTAAGGTTTAGAGATGAGGTGGGAGCATGAGGGAGGAAAGTTCTCTCAGGCCCTGTGTACAAGGAGTGCTCAGTCTGGGTCAGCCATTGTCTTGGTTAGCCTGGGGGCGGCGGTGCCTGGAGCCTTCTGCAGCAGGGGTGTGAGCAGCAGGGGTGGGGGCAGCGTCCGGAACTCAGAACCGGAACCCAGAACCCACCTGGCCTCTGGCGGCTGGTAACAGGCTATAGCCAATCAGAAGCCAGGCATGCCTGGTCCCCCACTCTGTTTATGAAGCAACAATCCAGGGTCTTCCCCAGAAGCTGTGGTCAGTACCTACGCTTCTCTGTGGCCCTGAGTGTGGGGGTTGCCTCAAGACCCTAGGGAGCTCAGTGCAGGCTGACCCCACTTCCCAGCCTGCTGGAGGGCAGACAGAGGGGGGCCCATGGGGAGAGCACCACCTCCCACCTCCAGGAAGGCCTCCCGGTTTGCACCCTGATGGGAATGGATGGGAGGGATTTTCCCAGAGGCCTCTGTGGTCTGACTTCAGTAGGGAGGATGGGGCCAAGGAGCCCTGGAGTGGTCTGATGGTTGGTCTTGCTGCCCCCAGGTTTCTGCAAACCCGTGAATGAGCCCGACACCAGCCGCTGTGACCTGGTGCCTGGCGTGAGAAGGAGGCAGCACTGGCATGCCCTCGGCCTGAACCCGGCGGTCCCCGCCCCCATCCCCCGCCACCCTGCACTGTCCCGGCTCCCCTGAGGCCCCCACACTGCAGTGCGGCCAGGCCCCCTCCCCGCAGGGGCCGCCCCTGCTGCCCAGCTCTGGTGCCCGGGGCGGCCCGGCCCGAAGGGCCATGAAGCTTCAGGCCGTCATGGAGACCCTTCTGCAGCGGCAGCAGCGGGCGCGCCAGGAGCTGGAGGCCCGGCAGCCCGCGCCGCCCCCGCCGCCCCCGCCGGCCGAGCTCCCCGCTGGCCCCCCAGCCCGGGCCAGGGCCATCCCGGAGGAGGACAGAGAGCCGGAGAAGGCGCGGATGCAGCGGGCCCAGATGGCCGCGCTGGCTGCCATGCGGGCGGCAGCCGCCGGCCTCGGATCCGCACCCAGCCCCAGCGGCTCAGAGGATGGGCCCCCCAGCCTGGAGGATGAAGATGCAGTCCAGGAAGGGGTGCCAGGCTCGCCTGCCCCATCAGGCCGAGGCCGGGAGGCACCGGGACATGCTGAAGACATCAGGCACCTCGAGGACGTGGGCTCCGACGGTGACCTGTGAGTCGGGTTCCGCGGGCTATGCACTGCACAAGTGTCGACTGAGCCTTCCATGCATCCCAGGCAGCTGTAGGGCAAGCCCTTGTCCCTGCTGACCACCGAGGTCAGCACTGTCCTTTAGAACTTTCTGGAGGATGGTGGGTATCTCACCAACCTAGGAGCCACCCCTCACGGGCGGCGGGGGAGGCTTGATTCCAGCCTGACTTACGTGGACCAGCCCCGTGTGGCCGGGAGCCCCATTGCCCAGTGAGGCTCCAGCAGATTCAGTGGCTCCGGAGGGACCCGTGCACAGTGGGTGTCAGCTGGCTCGTGGTCGTCCACCGTGCGTGCGTTCCTGCCAGACCCAGTGCAGGCCTCCAGCCAGCTACGGGCAAGACCCCAGGGGAATCACTCTGGGAAGATGTTTGACAAGCAGAGCAGTGGGGTGATTGTGGGTTATGACAGGGAAATAAAGGAGGGGTGTGGGGGGGAGGTGTCTGGGGCTGGGAACAGCATGCCTGGCAGAAGGAACAGCCAGAGCAAAAGTCCTGAGGCAGGAACTGGCTAGGCATTTCAAAGGCCCACACCAAGGAAGCCCGTGCCACGGAGGGCAGGAGGGGCTTAGCAGGTGTGCAGGGGCCCTGGGGGGCTGTGGGCTGATGGGAAACACAGCCGTGCCCCTTGCAGCGCCTGGAGCATGTGGGGGCCGCTGTCCCCGTGTTGAGAGAGGGAGACCAGGACTTGGGCGTAGAGCAGACCCTGCCCCAGGGCTGGAGCAAGCTGGCGCCATCGCCCCTGACCTGTGGCCTCTGCCTGCCCCAGGAAGCCAAAGTGGGAGGAGGAGGAGGAGGACCTGGAGGACGACCTGGAGGACGAGGAGGACGAGGAGGAGGAGGAGGAGGAGGAGGAGGAGGAGGACTACGAGGACGAGGAGGGGCCTCCAGGCTCTTCCGGCTTGGGCCCTGCAGCCCTCGTGCCCCGTAGGGCCCCGCCGTCCCAGGCCTACCGCGGCGATAGTGGGCCCCGGGTGCTTGGTGGCCAGGAACGCCAGGGGGCCAGCCTGGCCCACGCCGGAGGGGCTGCGCACGTGGCGCCGCAGCTGCAGCCGCCTGACCACGGGGACTGGACCTACGAGGAGCAGTTCAAGCAGGTGCGCAGTGCGCTGTGGGGGGCCGCGGGCAGGGGCACGTGCACCGCTGCTGGGTCCTGGCGCCCGGCCCACGCCAGCCAGGCACACGGCCGCATGCATGAAGCCTTGTGGACACCCCGTGGGTGGGACGGGCCGACGGTTGAGTGCGCCCCGTGTGGACAGGAGGGGGACCCGAGCCAGGAGGGAGAAGCTCAGGGGCTGCCCAGTGCCTGCCCAGAAGGACCTGCAGGGAGCCAGCTAGGCACGGGGCTCTGAGCTGGGCAGGTGCCCGGGCAGAGGCCGTGCGGCTGAACTGGGCTTGGCGTGGGCCGCGGTCAAGGGGCGAGGCCCGGCAGGCGGACGTGCGGGCAGGGCGCTGGGGGCTTGGGGACGCCGGCCCGAGGTCTGGTCAGTCGGCGTGGAGTCTGGTCACAGAGGCCACAGTGGTTGGTTGGGCAGGGGGTGGCCACGTTGGTGTGGATGGCTGAGAACTCCCTGGGGCTGTGGAGGGGCGGGGAGGAAGTAGGGCCGTCCTAGTGCCTTCCCTGCGGGCGGCCAGGGCAAAGGAAGTGGCCGGGGCGGGGGACCCTTTGAAGTTGCGCCCGAGCTGGGCTGGGCAGATGGAAACCAGATGGCGTCCGGCCGGGCTCACATTCCAGTCCGTGGCCAGCTGGGCCCTGCTCCGACCTCCAGGAGTGGCCAGCGGGGACCTGGCCTCCCCAGCCCGGTAACCCAGTAGCCCGGGCCTTCGAGGTCTCCCCTGGCTGTGGACAGCTAGTGTGCGCGAGCTGGGAGGTGGCTGTGTGTGGCCTTGGGACGGCCCCCTCTGGATACTGGCCTCCCAGAACCAGCTCTGGGCCCCTCCTGGAGGGTGCTCAAGGCCCGGCCTTGAGCCGGGTGGGCTGGACACACGCGGAGGGGGCTGGGCAGGGGGGCTCCCAGTGTGGGGGGCAGTACCTGGAGGCAGCAGGGGAGCCGGCAGGGGAGCCAGCAGGACGGATGGAGCTGCCCAGGTGTCTGGCTGGTGTGGGGCAGGGCCCAGGGCTGGGTGACAGCCAGCGGACTGCGCCTACCTGGGCGTGGCCAGCACCCCACACACCCCCTCCTGGAGGCTCTGCCCCTGCGCATGGACCCCAGTCACCCCCGCCACCCCCGTGTCCCTCTCCTTCTGGGCTGGCGCCCTGCCCAGAGCTGCAGCGCTGAGGGAGGGTCTCCAGAGCTCGCCGTGGTTCAGAACAGCACGCAGCCTGCCGTGGGCTGTTTGTTCTCACGGTAGTTACCGGGAGCCACACGCTTGGGGGCTGGAGCTGGACAATACCCCAGTGTTGCAGGGCCCCGGCCGGGCCACACAGGACCCCAAACCCCCAACCCTGTTCAGTGGCCTCAGCCCCTGGGGGGGCAGGGTTTGGGCGGCCAGGCCAGGCGAGGACTGGGGGCAGAGGCCAGGCCCCAAAGTGCCCTCGGCATGTCAGGAACAAAGGGCCACAGGAGCCTTTGTCCCACTTGTCTGGGATGCCCAGGGCCGGGGAAATGGAAGCGAGAGTGGATCAGGGAACCCCAGAGCCACTGGGGCTCAGCATCTCGCTGAGCTGGGGGGGTGACTCCCCTATGTGGAGGAGGCTGGCCTCAGGAAGTGGACAGCCGTGCTGAGGTGTCGGGGAGAGCTGGTCTGGCATCTTTGGCTGGGTGGGGGGAGGCCTCTCGGGATACACAATTTGGGTCAAGCCTCACGGAAGGAGGGACAGTGCACCTGGCAGAGAAAGTAGCCTGGGCAAAGGCCCTGGGGCAGGGCCGACATTGGTGTGGCGGGGGGAGCCAGATGCTGCCAGGTCGGGCCCTGCAGGAGATAGGATTGGATTCTGAGAAAGTGGCCCTGCCCTGCAGTGCTGGGACCTTCCTCCTGCCCATTCATGGCGGGGCCGGCTGCCGGCTCTGCCCTCCCGCCCAGCTGGCCGGGCACCTGTGTGGCCAGTGTCAGCAGCGTCCCGGGCCCAGCCGGCCTAGCAGACGTCAGGCCGTGTTGACTCTGGCGCCTTCCCCACAACCTTCCTGGCACGTGGCAGCCCAGCCGGCCAGCCGCCCACTTGGCCCCATCTCTTGCCTCTTCCTCCCAAGTCTTGGCGGGGCCTGGGGCCGACTTCCCCTACTAACCCTTAAGAGCCGTGAATATGGTCTCGGGGAGGCCAGGCTGGGGAGGGACCTGGGGCAGCGGGCTCGTGGCCATGAAACCATCCCTGGAACCCCCACAGCCTGTCTGCCGTGGGGCCCTGGGGATGCGCGGATGGAGGCCAGCACGCCGCGAGCCACTGGCCGGGGATCAGGCGTGTTGCAGACAGTGATTAGGATCTTAGCCTCCTGGCATCAGACATGGCATCCTGTGGCTTCCTGTCACCCACGTAGCTGGGCCCAGGCTCTAGAAAGTGCCCCCCCCACCCCGCCCCTGTAGGTCTTAACCTCAGATCTTTGACTGCTTAAGAATCAGGATCCTTGGTCTCAGCAGCTCAAACTTGGGGATTGTTTTCAACGGCTTTATTGAGATCAGACTCACGTAGCACATACTTCACCTGTTGAAAGTGTGCAGTTCAGTAGTTTTTAGTGTCTTCGTGGAGTGACATAGCCACCGCCAGGTTATTTTAGGACGTTTCTGTCACCTCAGACGTAAACTTTTATAAGCGTATCTTTTAGCTATTACCCCCCTGCCCCCGGCCCCCGCAAGCCCCCTTCCTGTCCATGGAGGACCCTGGTCTGGGGGTGTCACACGCGTGGACTCACACCCTGTGTGTCTTTCTGTGTCTGGTTCCCTCCCTGCATGTCATGGGCTCGGGGTCCATCCCTGGGGTCGCACGTGGGGCCTCACCCCTGCTGGCGGCCGGGGGACGCTCTGGCGTGTGGTGGACATGCTGTGTTGATTCTGTCACCTGTGATGGACACTTGGGTTGTTTACACCTTGGGCAGCTGTGAGTCGAGCTGCTGTGAGTCGGGCTGCTGTGATCACGCTTGCATGTCTTTGGTGTGGACAGGTGTTTTCAGCTCTCATGGGCGCAGAGCCAGGAGTGGAACCGCCGGGCCGGGTGGTGAGGCTAATTGGCCTCTCAGGGACCTACGGGCGGCTTCCCGCAGCGGCCGTGCTGTTCTCCTTCCCATGGCCTCCCGAGGCTCCGGCTCGTGCATGGCCTCGCCAGCACCTGAGATCACGGCTGTGCTGTCGCAGTCACAGGGTGGGAGCGTCTCCCTGCGCGTTGGTTTGCGCTGAACGTTGCGGTGTTTTCCGCCTGCTTTCCAAGGTGACGTCCATCCACTGCACGACGTGTCGATGAGCTCCAAGATGTAGAGGTGACCACTGCAGCTGAGACGTGTCCCCTAGCTGTGCAGGAGGCGGACTGAGCCTGTCTCCTGTGCCCCTCACGCCCCGATCCCGCAGGGAAGGGCGGCTGAGGGCTCTCCCCTTCGCACCGACGGAGACGGACGTGGGTGGTTGAGTCCGTCGACAACCTACAGACGCCCTAGTGTGTACCGGAGGGTGGACACATGGGGTCCCCAGGCCTCTATCTCCTTTGCCATGAACACAGTGGGTCCAGGGCCTCACATCAGGGTGTCAGGACCCAGGGCCTGGACCCACACAGGCACTTAGGCGGGAACAGTCATTGGTGGCCTCTTTGTCCTCGCCGTGGACCCTGCCTGGCCCCACCTCTCCCCGGGCCTCTTGGGGCCCATGTGATGCCCATGGGGGCCCTTCTCCTGTGTAGCAGGCCTGGCCCACGTGGAGGTGAGGCTGTGGGCCTCAGGGGTGTTCTTTGCAAGAGGCTGGGGTCCCATTTTGGGTTTTTTAGCCCTTTTGGCCCACGTAGGTTTTTTTAGCCACAGGAAATACACACGTGCAGATTTTTAGGGCCGTATCTGACTGCAGAAGCAGTGTTGGTACCGTCCTCGTCAGAGGGGAAGCGGAGAGTGCTCTCTGGGCCCCAGGCTGGCTGCCGTTCCCAGCACCGCTCAGCGTCACTCTGTGGGTCTGAGCATTCCCCATTCCCTGGTTCTCTTCCGCGATGGTTTCCTCATGGGGCTGACAGCAACACGCTGGCCTGTCTCGCTGCCGTAAACACCACTGCCGTGACATCTCTGGGCTCCAGAAGTCTGCCGGGCAGCGTGAGGTGGAGGCGTGGCTGGGATCATGGGGTGGGGGAGGGGAAGGCAGAGGGTTTCTTCATCCCACCTGGGGCCCCCACCGGGCTGCAGGGAGCCACAGCCGGACACAGGCACTCACAGCCCCTGGGGATCAGGGCTGGGCTAGAGGAGGGAGGAATGGGCTTTGGGGCTGGGGCTTTATAGGGTGTATAAGAGTTTTCTGGGGGACAGAGAAGGGTAGAGTCTGCGTATTGGAACATAAAGCAGGAGGCGTATGGGTGTGCAGACATTAGGGTAAATGAAAGGGGCCTTGGCAGGGTTTGGAGCTGGGGAGCAGAGAGGTGAGTGAGGACCCTTACAGGACCTGTCCTCTGGGCAGGAAGACGCTAGACCTGCAGGGCCAGGGGGAAGGATGAGAATTCTTCCGGTGGGGTAAGGGGTTATGAGCAGAGGGCATGGCCTGGGCAAAGGTTTCGAGGTCAGACGCTAGGTCCTGAACCCGGCGACGTCCGTCTGATATGCTTGGGACAGAGTGGGCTGGGGGCCAGGCCCCGTGTGTCCTAGGGGCCGGCTCTGGCGCCGGGCCTCTTCCTGGGGCTCCAGCAGCCGGGGCCATGCGCCTGGGGGTGGGGAGGGTGTTGGGAAGCCCCTGGGAGCTCAGCCCACCCCGCCTGGGACAGCGCCTGCCTCATCAAAGCTGCTGTGGCTGCTGGCATGGAGCCAGCGGGCCGTGGCAGGCCCGGGGAGGGTGCCTGCCCGCCAGCCCCTGGCACCGTGCCTCTGCCCGTGCCAGCCCCGGGAACCACACTGACTCAGCCGGAAGAGCCTTATCTGGCCCCTGTGCCGCCACCAGCCGCCCAGTCACCGCCGTGGGGTCACGGCCGCCGGGGCCTGGCCCC